AGGGTTCATGCTTGATATGTGTACCAAGTTTGATGAAGCTAGCATGTATAGTTTGGAAGATCTGCTCCGGACAAGATGACATCCTCATAGTCACAGCCTAAGTAGGTGTTTCCATGGAAACAGCAAAAAACTAAATTCTGAAAAACTTTAAAATAGCAAAGGCACATCAATGGGTAATGATTAACATGTGTGTGAAGTTTGGTGAACCTAGCATGTAAACTTTAAGAGATATGCTCTGGACAAAATAATCAAACATATTTGGCACTAAGTCATGTTTCCATGGAAACAGCAAAAAATACAATTCATATCTGGATGTAAACCCCAAAAGGCACATCTAGGGATCATGCTTGATATGTGTACCAAGTTTGATGAAGCTAGCATGTATAGTTTGGAAGATCTGCTCCGGACAAGATGACATCCTCATAGTCACAGCCTAAGTCGTGTTTCCATGGAAACAGCAAAAAAACTAAATTCTGAAAAAACTTTAAAATAGCAAAAGGCACATCAATGGGTAATGATTAACATGTGTGTGAAGTTTGGTGAACCTAGCATGTAAACTTTAAGAGATATGCTCTGGACAAAATAATCGAACATATTTGGCACTAAGTCATGTTTCCATGGAAACAGCAAAAAATACAATTCATATCTGGATCTAAACCCCAAAAGGCACATCTAGGGATCATGCTTGATATGTGTACCAAGTTTGATGAAGCTAGCATGTATAGTTTGGAAGATCTGCTCCGGACAAGATGACATCCTCATAGTCACAGCCTAAATCATGTTTCCATGGAAACAGCAAAAAAACTAAATTCTGAAAAAACTTTAAAATAGCAAAAGGCACATCAATGGGTAATGATTACTATGTGTGTGAAGTTTGGTGAACCTAGCATGTAAACTTTAAGAGATATGCTCCGGACAAAGTTTCGGGACGGACGGACGGGACGGACGGACGGACAGAATGAACGCTATATACCCCCGTTACTTCGTAGCGGGGGTATAATAAAAACATATTGTAGTTTCAGTCTCTTTTGATAACTGACAAGTCACTTGAAACCAGGATCACGTAAACACTTAAAACAAACTCAATGAAGCTGCAAGTCTGCACCAAATATTTAATTACTAAACTATCAATGCATCGATAGTTTTTCGTTTCTACCATCGATTAATTGCTGTCAGAGACTCAACAACTGCAATGCATCGATGCATCATTAAACCCCGCGAGCCTGACCACCCAATCCCATCAGTCGCCCCTACGACAAGCATGGTTGCTGAAGAACAATTCTAACCCGGATCTTCACAGGTGTCATCAAATGGCCTGCCCAATGTTTCTGTTACTCAACAGAAGTCAACGACCTCCCGATTCTTTCAGATTATTTTAGTAAAGCACTCATGCCAACAAAGCCAGCTGTAACCCTTAAAGTTCTTGGTTAGACCAGAGACCATGTAATCTACTTATTATATGGCCTCTGGTTAGACCTGTTCTCCAGCAGCCCATGCTTGTCACGATCAATACTCATGATCTTGGGGACTGTTCATAATTTATGGCTAGGGGGGGTGATGATTTTTGTGGAGAAGCATGTGCAATGTGAACGACCCCCTAAAATTTAAGTACAAAATATGACACCCCCTTGCAGGTCATGTACAAAATCAATGACCCCCTCCCTCCACTTCCCATAATTTCTAAGATATTTTTATGTACAAAATCGCTGCCCTCCCCCACCCCAATGCGTGTGTAAAAAATTGCTCCCCAAGAACAAAATGGGTGACACCCCCCCTTAAAATCAGCAAAGAACACACACACCACCATAAATTATGAACGGTCCCTTAGTCACTAGGCTACCCCACCGTCCCACCGAGGTGAAAAAGTTAATGCCATGAAGACTAACTTTTGTTAAATTCAAATCAAATACAGAAGTTACTTTGTAGAAAAACCTTTCTTTGTGTCTGATCTACCCCGAAAGAGAAGTTGATATTTTACAATCAAATTACCTTGTGCAAGTATGACCTAAACACAATTTGACAAGACCTGTATTTGTTAAACTTTGAATATAAAAAAAATATTTTTAGAAAATTACTTGCTTTTCCATGAAAAAAAATTGGATATTTATATATTAGGGAAATCTTTAGGGTTTCATTTGACATCTACTACTAACCGTGACGTATTTTTGTCAAGCTCTGAACCAAACGAATTCCTGTCAAGGTTATAAAGTATTGTATGTCTGTCAAATTTCATCTGTACCCCTCTAAACAATTTCTAGTGGATGGCCTAAATACATTTTGCATGTTTTCATTTTGACGTTCCTTAATGAAATTAAATTCATGTATGTGTAGCTTGTATCTTGCATATTGAAATCTTATGTTCTACATGACGAAATATTCTCAGTAACTTGAAGTAGGCTCTTTAGCCCAGCCAATCGATAAACCAAATAGAATGCTCTGTTGCCATGATTACGATGTAGTGAAAATAAATCTCCAACACAAACTTATTAGACATCAATTTATTAATGTCTCTGCAGAGTTCATTTCTTGTACAGACTTTAATTGTCAGCCTCTGCTTCCAGCTTCTTAATAAAAGCCTCCTTCTTCTGCTTGACACGGGCCTTGCGCTGAGCAAGTGTGATCTTCGCCTTGTTCCACCTGCAACACAAAACAGCTTAAAACTCAGAAAAAGGTGGCATCAACAGTGTCATGTTCAGCAGCAGTTCAGTTGACATTAATTTTGGGGCAGCAACAAATCCACTATAAGGATAATATGATACGTATCACGATTATAAGGTTACAAATATTACGCAATGAAAACAGTAACATATCATAAGCTGAAGTATTGTCCATTATATTCAGTGGAATTATTAAATAAATTCGTTGACATGTTTTAATTGTGATGACAGTGTAAACATTAAAGGCAACAATGTCACAAAATACATTTCTCTCAATAATACTATCAGCCCTACGCACAACTTGTGATTGAAACCAGTTCGGTAAACACCAACAAGACCGTGTGCGACGGAGGAATCGTTTACATTCCATATATGGCAAGTGTTATCTGTTTGCCTTGAAGTTTCAATTATCAATTTCAGGCAAGTCGTACGGGATAGTAAGTCTTATTGCATCAATAGGAAGCTAAAGGCAGTAATACAAAACATATAATCGAAAATATTGTCAAAAATGTGTGACATTGTGCCTTTAAACACGAGTGTGGACTGCTATCCAACATACCTTGGATATTTTGCATTTAGCTTTAAAATATAACACCAAAATTCAAGTAAATAAACTGTTAATTCAAGGACATTTACTTTCAGTGATGAATACATGAAAGATTATGGTTTGATTCAACGAACATGCGAAGGAATTTTAACAGCCCTAATCAACATCACATCTGTTTAGTTATAATTAATTTGGCAAAAAGGCAAGGTATTGTGACTACAGTCTTCTAGGGTTAATGAAGTCAAATTATGGGATATCAGACCGTTGTCAACATAGGGATGCAACTCGTTAATATCAATGATGCAAGACCTAATTGTGTTTCCTGACTGCACAAGTGGCTTGATAGTATAAACAAATTTGGTATTTTTGTCAAAGTGTTATGACTTGTATTAGATACTTAAATATTAGAGAAACTAATAATTTACTTCAATGATATTTGTATCTAGGGACATTCAAACTTCAATATAATGGTTCCAGCAAGAACACTCTGATTTGTATGCTTCATTTTTCATTTATAACAGTTAAATATCACTGACTGACTGAGTTTGGTTTTACGCCGCTTTTAGCAATATTCCAGCAACATAACGGCGGGGGACACCAGGCGCAGGACACCAGAAATGGGCTTCACACATTGTACCCATGTGGGGATTCGAACCCGGGTCTTCGCCGTGACGAGCCACGCTTTAACCACTAGGCAACCCCACCGCCCCCAGTTAAATATCAAACATGTTGGGGTGGGTTTTTTTAAAAAGACATCTGTAAAATTAATGATCTTACCTCTTCTTGGTAACTTTCTTCTGTACCTTCGCCTTTGGAGATGGGTCTGCCCTGATGGCAGCATGGGCTTTCTTGTACATCCCTTCAACCTAGAGAAGTAGAAACCATACTCAAAACACAATATACTATGACATTTCCATCTATAACTGTAAACTTCATCTACTACAAGAACTCCATGTTTGAGCTATGTATCTCCTGCTGCAGGGATGTAATAACCTTGACCTCTGCAGGGATGTAATAACCTTGACCTCTGTAGGGATGTAATAACCTTGACCTCTGTAGGGATGTAATAACCTTGACCTCTGTAGGGATGTAATAACCTTGACCTCTGTAGGGATGTAATAACCTTGATCTCTGTTGACATTACATCCCTTCAGCTTACCATCATCTAATCAAGGCCAATCAAGAATAACCATGCCCTACCCGTTGTCCATCTGGCTGCATAGCTAGTATCTGTAATCACAGCTACTATCAATAACGTCACACTGTACATCAACCTCTTCAATTATAGAATTATCAATTATCCTTCATGTATATATTCTCCATTTGAAAATTGTTGTGTATCATTTCCTTGATAAAAGTCTTAGCAACTTCACTGAAACGTTACATCTAACGCAACAGGAGTTAACTATCCTTAAAAATTCCTCTTCATCATGTTAGCTTCTAAATGACACTAAAAGAGGTTATGATATCATACAGCCCCTCTGAACCTGTTCTATAATGAACCCATGCCATCATACAGCCCCTCACACTGAACCTGTTCTATAATGAACCCATGCCATCATACAGCCCTCACACTGAACCTGTTCTATAATGAACCCATGCCATCATACAGCCCCTCACACTGAACCTGTTCTATAATGAACCCATGCCATCATACAGCCCCTCACACTGAACCTGTTCTATAATGAACCCATGCCATCATACAGCTCCTCACACTGAACCTGTTCTATAACTGAACCCAATGCCATCATACAGCTCCTCACACTGAACCTGTTCTATAATGAACCCATGCCATGCCATCATACAGCCCCTCACACTGAACCTGTTCTATAATGAACCCATGCCATCATACAGCCCCTCACACTGAACCTGTTCTATAATGAACCCATGCCATCATACAGCCCCATCATCACACTGAACCTGTGAACCCATGCTATACAATGAACCTGTTCATGAACCCATCATACAGCCCCTCACACTGAACCTGTTCTATAATGAACCCATGCCATCATACAGCCCCTCACACTGAACCTGTTCTATAATGAACCCATGTTCATACAGCCCCTCACACTGAACCTGTTCTATAATGAACCCATGCCATCATCATACAGCCCCTCACACTGAACCTGTTCTATAATGAACCCATGCCATCATACAGCCATCATACAGCTCCTCACACTGAACCTGTTCCTCACACTGAACCTGTTCTATAATGAACCCATGCCATCATACAGCCCCTCACACTGAACCTGTTCTATAATGAACCCATGCCATCATACAGCCCCTCACACTGAACCTGTTCTATAATGAACCCATGCCATCATACAGCTCCTCACACTGAACCTGTTCTATAATGAACCCATGCCATCATACAGGCCCGCATGTAGAAAGACCTACGCTGTCAGGAGTGATTCCCTCCTTGATGAAGCGAGAGAACTGTTTCCTGTAGAGGTCTTCATCCTCCTCCTTTAGATGTTTCATGTAGTTTCCCACGTGCACACCCAAGATGTGATTGCGATGAATCTCGGCCTTGAACTCGCTGCTTTCAGAATCAAAGCCTGGGAATCTCTTCATGCTGGAAAACAACCCAAAACCCAAGTAAAATCTTGTAAACTTGTTATAATCAAGACTAATGACGCCAAGTAAAATCTTGTAAACTTGTTATAATCGGGACTAATGACGCCAAGTAAAATCTTGTAAACTTGTCATAATCGGGACTAATGACCCCAAGTAAAATCTTGTAAACTTGTTATAATCGGGACTAATGACGCCAAGTAAAATCTTGTAAACTTGTCATAATCGGGACTAATGACGCCAAGTAAAATCTTGTAAACTTGTTATAATCGGGACTAATGACACCTACAATGCAACAGTTTAATAAAGATGCCTAACTACGACACAGAAAACTGACTACACTTTTTCGATCCCTTGTATAAAGAGGGCTGAACAGAAGTTCCAAGGGTCATGCAGGGCGAGAACCTCTACAGACTTCAAGAGAGTGAAGGTTTACACAGCTTTTAGCAATATTCTAGCTATAACACTGCAGGGGACACTAGACATTTTACCTCTGTGGGAATCGAACCCGGGTCTTCGTGATGTAACAACACTTTAAACACATCTGCCCCAATTCATGTGGGTTTGAGGGTATTATTCACCCTCTTGAGCCTTCATTTGTGAGTATGTTCTTTGCACCTTGGTTGGTTTGTTGCTTAATGCTGCACTGAGCAATATTGCAGCTATATGGAGGCAGTCTGTAAATAATCAAGTCTGGACCAGACAATCTAGTGATCAACTGACTGACTGAGTTTGGGTTTTACACCAATTTTAGCAATATTCCAGCAACATCACGATGGGGGGACACCAGAAATGGGCTTCACACATTGTACCCATGTGGGGATTTGAACCCGGGTCTTCGGTGTGACGAGCCAACGCTTTAACCACTAGGCTACCCCACCGCCCCTCTAGTGATCAACAGCATGAGCATCATTCTATGCAATTGGAATACGGTGATGTGTCAAAGTCAGCAAGTCTGACCACCCGATGCCGTAAGTTGCCTCTACGACAAACATGGGTTGCTGAAGACAAATTCTAACCCGGATCTTCTCAGGTCTGTTGCACCTATTGCAGAAGGGGAAACCAAAAATAGGCTTCAAACATTAAACCAATATGGAGATTTGAACCCTGATTTTGGCACAACAAATAAATGCTTCAAGCACCTTGCTACCCAAACCCATCTCATTCAAAAACCTTGTCTGATCCTCATTGTATTATTCCCAACTCATGGAGTGAGTGAGTGAGTGAGTGAGTTTAGTTTTACGCCGCACTCAGCAATATTCCAGCTATATGGCGGTGGTTTGTAAATAATCGAATCTGGACCAGACAATCCAGTGATCAACAGCATGAGCATCGGTCTGCGCAATCGGGAACCGATGACATGTGTTCACCAAGTCAGCGAACCTGACCACCTGATCCCGTTAGTCGCCTCTTATGACAAGCATGGTCACCTTTGTGGCAAGCATGGGTTGCTGAAGACCTCTTCTACCCCAGATCTTCACGGGTCCCCAACTCATGAAATTTTCATTTTCAAACTGGAATTTTCTTATATCCTTTAGTCAGCTTCCTAACCTGTGAGGGATGTCAATGCCGCCATCAACAGCTCCCTTCAAAGCTCCGAACACCCTGGCACCAGTGGTGGTACGAACAAGGCCAATGTCTAGGTAAGCTCGGAAAGCACCCGGTTTGCCATCCTCGTCTTCAACGTAGTATTCTTCACCATTTGCCTCCTCAACTCCAGTGTAGATGGAATCAAGTTTCAACTTTTGAAGCAGCTGTGTAGTTCAAGAGATAAGATATTACCAGACTGGTCCCATGGAAATCTGACATCTGTTGCCTAATATTGATGACTCAAAATCTACAAGTGAATTTTATGATTTACAACAAAATCCGCCAGGGAGTAACAACAAACGTTTGCAAACATACAACTATTGTCAGGATTCACTTTAGTTTTCTTTCAGTAACATATTTGCTTGTGTTTTATCAGCAATATAAGCCTGTTTAATTATTTATAGCAATGAGTGTGTTGTGTTTAAACCGGATTCAATCAGTATTCAAGTTATATCAAGGTGCTTGTCTGTTTGACATGTTAAAAGCCTGAAATTATGCAGGTCTACCACTTCCGCATAACCCATGAGTGAGTTTGGTGCTGATGAACCTAGAAACATAACCAGAGAGTACCGACTGAGTTTGGTGCTTTTAGCAATATTCCAGCAACACATAACCAGAAATGGGCTTCAGCACTGCCCATGTGATTGAACCTGGGTATAGAGAATAGCAGCTTTAACCATTAGGCTGGACTGAAGCACTAAATGTTAAATATAGAGTGTGGACTGTAGAAGTATAGAAAGTAGGTGTGCATCACTGAACTTGCGTGTACTTACCCTCCTGGCCAGGAGGAGTCCAGTGCAGTATGAAGCCGCATAGTTGGTCAGCCCGACCTTGACGCCGTACCTAGGTAACTCATGGGCATATGCAGCCGCAATGATAATGTCACCTTCGATCCGAGCGTACGCTATCTGTAAGAGGAATGAAAGCTTTAAGTTGTAGCAAGACAAAAGGCCCATTTTCTTTTGGCTATTTGTTGAACATCTCAATCGGCAGTATTCCTGTTACAGGAGTGAGTTTAGTTTTATGCTGCAGTCAGCAATATTCCAGCTATATGGCTGCGGTCTGTTAATAATCAAGTCTGGACCAGACAATCATGTGATCAACAGCATGAGCATCGATCTGCGCAATTGGGAACCAATGACATGTCAACCAAGTCAGCGAGCCTGATGACCGATCCCGTTAGTCGCCTCTTACGACAAGCACAGGTTACTGAAGATCAATGTTCTAACCCGTATCTTGACGGGTATCCTGTTACATGAAAGCAACCTGTCAATAATGAAGATCAAAAATCCAGTAACTAATATGTACAACATTCCACGTCAGGGTATAATCACCAGTCAACTTGAAGATCCAGGTAAGAATTTGTCTTCAAACCTGGCTTGTTTTGAGAAGCAACTAACTGGATCAGGTGATCAGGCTTGCCAACTTAGTTGATGCCTATCATCGTATACCAATTACTGTAATCGTATATATTTTCGCGGGGTGCAATTTTCGTGGAAAGTTCACAAAAGGCCTGTTCGCGCAGTTGTTTTTTCGCGCATTTCAAACACCTGAGTGATGGTATCCATCACAACGTTTTCACAACCGATAGACATGCAATGATCAAAGCTAGCCGCCATAATTGAATCGTGTTTACGAAAACAATCCGAGAGAGCCGGGATTATACTTGTGTCAACATTGTGATTTGTGGCTGACATCGCTTCGCATGAACAAACATACAAAAGAAGATCAAAGATGTCAAACTTGCAATTAAACATCGCTAGAAAAGATTATTTACCTATTCAGTTCTAGTTTGTTTTTGTTAGGCATTGTCTTATATGCAGGTATTAAGATTACTGTGTGTAATTGTCTCGTATACAGAGCTGGAAATATCAGTCAGCTGTGCAGTGCACACGTTCCCCTACCGGTGATTTAGTTAAAACGTACCCAATAATATTCCGAGATGCAGTGATCTTAAAAAGATAGTATCTCAAACTATTGTTTTTTAAAGAGAAATATATTCTAGTTTTGTGTCCTTTTCATTGCAGGTTGTGCTCTATAAATGTAAAATATTTATAATCATAACTTAGGTTATGGCTTTTAGCCGGATATTTTTTAGGCATGGAACAATTTAACCTGTCACCGATGAGGTTTCTCGCGATCTCGCTATTTCCACTACGAAAGTCGTTTGTTGTCAACATGTCATCTTCCAGCTACACTAATTATGACTTTTGGCGAAACAAATAAGTATGCGTATCCATTTACTGTCAACTACACTTCATTTCGAGACGCGAGTAGACGCAGTATGTAAGTGATTGCTGTGAAATAAGTACATTGTGTTGAGGAATTACCGGTAGGCGAACATCTGTGGACTTCTTGACATTGTTTGATCCCGTAATTTGTAAACATGAACCGGGAATAATTGCTTTGATGTTATCTGAGAGAATAAACAAATTGCATGTTGTTCCTACTTGAGTATTTGTCATGACTTCACCATGAATATTTCGCTTGGTATGATTATTGGCGCACAATCTTTTTGCGCTAAAAGCGCGAAAATTAATCCCACGCGAAAATAACTACGATTACAGTATGTAGAAAAATGCTCACGTCAGTCACTGGAATGTCTGGTCCAGATGTGATTATTTCCATACTGCTGTGTTCAGAGATGCCAACCCCAAAGTGTTGCAAACAGTAGGTTCAAGGATCAAAATTAGTTTGACCATCAAATTAGTAGTCAACTAAATACTTAAATGATGATATGACACTGATCAAGAGTGAAGCTTTAATTTCACATACCTCCAACAGCAAATTTCCTAATTATCAGCATTACATATCTTTTTGTCATCTCTTTTTGGCGAAAATGTATTTAATCGACGAAAATATGTTTTTGTCTATATATCCGAATTTCATAGAATTTCTAGTGCAATCGTATTGGCGTAGTTTGAGTCTAAAATTCGTAGCGACTACGATAAAATCATAGAGGTTGTCATCTCTGCTGTGCTGCCGAGTGTGGCCTTTAATTTATGCCCACAATGACATACAACCAACTTTTAGGAGAGAGAGAGACTAATTTTGAGTACAAATCGTTCCTTCTGTTTAACAGCACTTCACTCAGTACTATTCTAGCAATATGGCAGTTATAGGACACCAGAAACTGGCTTCACACACCTGTGGAATCTAACCTTGTTCATCATGACAACCACTAGGACCACAGCACATACAATGTAATTTGCAACTCTACCCCACCAATATATTGTTTAAAAGTCACTTGAAGAATTTTTAAGATTCCATGTCTGTCTCAGTACCATTCTGTACACAATGAACCTTTATCTTCACTTAGGATGTCACCGCTTTGAGCTGGAAAAAAGTCAAATGGACTTGACATAATGACTTGGATCCAAGACTCACCTGACAAATGATGTCCTTGTTTGTGAAACGAACAATCAATCGATACTTTGGGGTGTTGTACTTGTTTTTCTCTTGGAAGATCAAGCGTTTACGAGCAAAGTAATCAGTGCGACCCTCTGGAAACGAGTTAAGCAAAACAGTCAACGTTTTTAACATGAACAGGTTTTTAAGACAAAATTGAAAGCAAGCAGCATTTCAATGTCACTTCAAGCCATACAACTTAAATAAACATTCTGCAACGCACAAGTTGCAATTCTAACCGCGAGTCCAAAAAGACCAGGTCTGGTAATGTTTATTCTTGTCCAGTAAGATCAGCTAATTCTAGTGCATATACTAAGACAAAAACACACACTGAAAATCACAGTAAAACATGTTTGGGCTAGTAGACAAAAAATGTCTTCAGAATAAACAACGCTTAGATATCTTTATGATAATGTTTTGTGTTTCTTAAAATTAACCTTCAAGGAACATCTGACAATGACTCACCTCTCCTCCTTCGGAATTTCACTTGAAATCTCTTGAAGTATGCCTTGTTTTTTACAACTTTTACGAACCCCTGCAAAACGAAAATAATACTTATTTTCAGACAGGACAAGGACATATAAAACCTAATGTATTAATTATACCAACTGAGATGGCCTAACATACTTTGTAAGAGGGATGGTGACATCTTTACATCACGCAAGTCAGCATTCAAAATACAAGGGTCCATGTTTCAAATTTGTAGGAGTCCTCATGGTCGGAATCAAATTTAAGTGCCACTTCATTTGTCATGAAAAGCTGCTCTTTATAAGTGATTTCATTTGTTCTTTTTTTTATGCAAATGTGCAATACACTAGCACTTTGTGACTTGTTACCCACATGTCAAAGATTCACTTTCAGGAATAAACTTTATAGGGACCAGGGCTATTTCATCCCTACAGCTTACCACCAACTAATCCAAAACTAATTAATCCAATCTCCCTCTTTCTGGCTTCTCTAACTAATCCCCTCCCCTAATTAGTTATCCCCACCCTCACTGGAGAATTTATCAGGGCCTGAAGCTCCAAGTCTGCGGAAAGTCTGGCACTACTAAATTTCTAGCATTGACAAAATTACAATTTCTATAAACATAATTGGAATGGTCCAACCCAGACCCTACTCCCCACAACCCCAAACAACCCTGAATGCAAAATGTTTTGTTTTTGTCGTTTAACACCGCTACGCAGTTGGGATACAATGACATGTGGCAATCAAGTCAGCGAGTCTGAACAACCAATCCCTTTAGTCGCCTCTTACGACAAGCAAGGGTTGCAGAAGATATTCTAACCCAGATCTTCACATGTCCTGACCGCATGAAATTGAATCCAATCCCAACAAAAAAAAAAATACAAAGAAACAATCAACATCCAGCAATCAGCCAAAGCACCTGGCCACCTGATCTACTTTTTGAGGCCTTTTCTGGCTGGAAGAAATAGTGCCAGGTTCCTTATAAATGCAAGGCACCCAGATTTGGTAAAGAGAAAACAATATCCTAAATGCAATGAGGGGGGCAAACATTAGAGGATAGGTTACTGAACACTGAGCAGAAAAACATCTTGATGCACAGACCAGCTGTGTGGTGGATATGCTCAGTGGTGACATGGATCTAGCAGGCTGTGTAAAATCAACAGGTAAGAGTTCCTCCCGTTCCCCCATCCCAAATAATATGTATAAATATTCTAGAATTATAAACAAAACTTAACACAACAATTACTAGAGAACTCACAAAATGATTAAAAGTCCAAAATTTAAGTTAGGGCTAGGTTTAGGGTTAGGTTTAGAGTTTGGTTCCAATCAACATCTGTGTTTTGTTCTGTTATTTCTTGGTGTTCTGTTATCTTAGTATTTCAGTCATGTCTGTATACCATATTATATGTGCATCTTATGATGTAAAACAAATTTAATCCATGACAATAAAATATCAACAGTGCCACACCTCTTTCTAGAAAACTCGTTGTGTGTCTAACATTATACAAGGAGCCCATATAGAATGTTCGCTGCTTATCTTGCCCCGGGGCGAACAGGTTTCGATAGTTAATGCAACGGTTCAAACCCTGGGTTAGGTGCAACCATATTCTGAAGGGTCTTCAGGTTAGGGCCGAACAGATTCTGTAGTTACACCTTGTACAATAACTCGACGGCTAAAATGCACTTTACCGGGCGCAGCCCTCGCTGCTCCCTTTTCGATCCTTAGGGTTAGGGTTTAGGGTAAGGGTATGCCACCCTTTACGATCCTTAGGTTTAGGGCTAGGCACCCTTTACGATCCTTAGGGTTAAGGTTAGGGAACCAGCAGCGCTAATTAATCTGAAAAAGTGCGCCCGGTAAAGTGCAGTACTCCCAACTCGACAATATATCCGTACAACGGGTCTAGCTCTAGACCTTGAGGCATGTGCTGGAATGTTTCCAATCAAGATGTCAACTACAAAAGCATCCGATCTGTAACTACGCCATGGCTAAAGCTGCATAAGAACTAATATGAACAAACACTAGAGCCTACACTGCAGTGATGTTCTCTGGTGCATATTATTCCAACTACGTATTGGACGGTCGTGTCGGACCGCATTTACGATTGCCATGTCCGTTTGGGGTCATAATGTGACTGTTGAATCGCCTCCAGACGAAATCCGACAGAAGGACGGCCATGTGTCTTACTGAAACGACGTCAGGACCTCTCCTTTTTCAATCCGGTAAAATCATATTTATTTGGGGGCATCAGAGTAAATTTACCACAATCGACCATAACTTTATTGTTGGTTTATCCACAGATACATCTGTATTTGAAATAGGGCTCACCATGATGGAGATATTCGAAGTCAAACTTCGTCACTCCGATAGCTTCGGCTGGGGGCTGAAGTTACGGTAGAAAAGGAAGTTACATGGCTGCCATGCGCACAGGTGTCCGACAGCGGAAGTGAGAAATTACGAGACGTGTCCTTAAAACGATGATTATTTGTATAATTACACCATGAGTATTGTGTTTGTTTTTGACATTCTTAACGTGAAAATAAACTGAATTTAAAAGATTTTTTTTCGGAACAACCTTGACATTGGCCTTGACCTTGGTACTGTCATGGCGAACCAATAACAAATCAGCGCGGTTTATTGTTGATGTCTGCAGTTGGTGAACATGCTAGATGACGATTTATGTGATTTTGTGAAAAGTAAAGCGTCAAAATACTAAATAAAATTATACCCGTTTCAGCATATTGAGAACTTGTGCGGAAACAGTTTTCAAACATTCTCGTCTCCCTGCAACAAAATTTCAAATCAAGTTGGAGCATGTTAAGTTTTTTGAAGTATTGTGACAGATTGCAAACTTCAATACGAAACTGAAAAAGAACATGGCTGATGCTTCGGCATCCTTAACGTTAATGAAAAATGTTCAGGATTTACGACAGAGACTAGTTGACACCGAGAAAACGTTGAAGAAAATAAACAAGCTTGAATCAGAAGTTGATCCCAATCAGTGAGTAACTGTCAAAGAATGCCAAAATTGACCTTAGATATATAGCATATTATGCATATATTAAAGTGAATGAATATTGAAATGAATTGAACCAAATCTGCTTTGTCTTCAATAATCTCACAAGTTGCTAAAGCACTTTTTGACTTATCCTAAAAAACACAAATGGGTTTCTTCTAAGTGTAATGTTAAATGTGTTAAAGGTTTGCTCATTTTCATTGTGAGGTCCACACTTCACATGTGTTTGATCCATGCTTAAAGGATCTTACAGTTGGTACCCCATTCTTGGCTATTAGTGTCTTTTTCTTTTAGGTCTTGATATTATAATTAGACTATTACTAGACAGGTTTATCAGACTGTACTGGCTAGCGAACAGTTATCGCCATATTTTAGCGGTATTTACAAAATTACTCCGCCGTTTGTTAAATTAATGAAACAGAATTAATTATGATACTTAATTAGCTATTCACCGATGTGTCCAGCCCGTTCACTGCCGCCGATCATGTTTTGATTTAACGCGGCGGAAGGGAATCATGGAAGTATAAATAGCTGTTTTTTCACAACTAACTGTAACAGTTATCGCCATTCAGAATTTCTCATGCCACTCGTGAAATAATATATATTTATATCATACAGTAACCTCGAATAATTGATTGTGTGACTATTTGAGTGTTTCTTTCACAGTAGATTGATAGGGAATGAAACTATTAATGACTTGTGAACCTGAACTTGCTATTATATAGGTCGCAGGACATCCTCCCCGACTAAGTTAAAAAATTTTTATAGGGTTTCTAACTTTACCAGTATTTTTTCTCTTATGTTACTTGCCGTGAAGAATTGTCTTTTGCTGTCCTGTATTGTTGTCAAATACGGTAGGAAAAGATACCGGAATTGTAATTGACCGGAACTGCGCACGTGTGATGCTGATGTATTGGCGATAACTGTTCGCTAGCCAGTACAGAGCTTTACTTATTTTGGTCTTCAGGTCACTGGCTAAATTTGCAGACACCAATACACCTATTTGTCTCAGTCCTACACATATTAATAATTGGCTGATGCATCCACTAACAGTTTTGTTTGACTTGCTAATACATAGGTACTGTAGTGAATTATGCATAAAGAAGATACATTTTGAATGTACAATGACTTTTAGAAAGTGCCCAAATGCAATATATGGTACACCTGAGATTAGTTTTTCAGCTACCAGAGTCGATCAAAAAGTATGTAGCCTAACTATATTCTCGATGTCCAATGTTTGAAAAGCTTCCATATTATTTTGAAGGAATTGTTAGCAAAGCCATATCCAAAATTTCACATGTGTGGGTGATGTGGTTAACCAGATATTTGTCATCACATCACATTGGGGTATAATATTTCTAACAAAATTGCAGAAATTGAAAAACGATTTGTCTCTTGGTACCTCTTGGATAATGGTATGCCCTCAGATAATGTCATATAAAATATGTTCAGTATAGTTTTGGATGACTTCCTGTCATGATCAACAGTCAAAGATTTGGATTGCCTGATTTATATTTAGTCGGGGGGCTATTTTTTAAGGACACACCCAATTTAATCTTTCAAAAACATTTGTGTCCAGATATTCAAGCTGGCACTGTTTACAATATATTTTGAGCTGACACTTGTGTGACCATTCAGTATTTAGTTTGAACCCTTGGCATCATGTATGCATAAGTGAAAACATTAGAATAAGCTATGCCCTTATATTACGTCATCGGAAGGGGGATGGGTAGTGTCTCTAAAACAAGCTCTTTCAGAAAAATAAAGGGGAGTCACTTTGACAAGCGATTGTAATTTCAAATTGCTTTTTTATGAACTTTAATATCTAAGTGTGATTCTAGGGGACTTCTATCAATCTCAAACACACAAAATATTTCTTGCATATTTTGTTTCCCTGAAGTTTTTTGATGCATTTATTGTAGATTTTTGGGGGTTTTAGGGTACCAAGATAAAAAGGTCAAACAAACTGGGGATCGTGAGACTGGAACATAGCAAAACCAAATTGCTTGAGCTTGACAGATAATATGTAGAAAATTAAAACATAAAATAACTGCATTTGTATCGTTTTCTTGGTGATTCTACATACTTTTTTATCTCCCCTCGTAAGTACAGATACTAGTACTTTTGTGGGGTTGAGTCCCATCCAAGATTGGAACTCACACTCTCAGAGAGTCAGATAGAGGCCCTTAATTGCCAGCATGCAATTGATAATTTTCTGTGTACTTTTATGTGTTTAAGTGTATTAACATGTGTCATGTTCAAGGAAGACAAAAGTCTATCAAATGACAAGACAAGTCTATTTCATAGGCCAATGGTCAAACACAACATACACCAAAACAGGAATTACTATTACTTGGAGTCATTTTCATCAGTCAATTGTTTCTCAGACCCATTTTTTTCTTTTTTTTTTTCTTGAGAAAACAGTTTGACATGTTCACTTAATGATTGCCAGGGAGAGCAATGATGAACGCCGGTCAGCTGGTCTGTACCAGGGAGGACAGTTTGTGTCGTCGTCACTCTCTTATGACTACCAGAGACGAAGGGACAGCAATGATGACTTCATGGATCGGGAAAGCATACGTTCAGGACTCAGCACATTGCCTGATTCATATACAGGATTCCTCAGTCGACAGTTCCCGTCAAGTACACCAAACAGACCACAGGTATTGTACCACAACATTTACATCTCGTGTTATTACAGGAAGTATGTGACATTCAAACAATCTACCCATCTTAACTCTTACACTGCAATACCCATGAAGTTATGGGTTAGAATTGATCTTCAGCAACCCATGCTTGTTGTAAGAGACGACTAACAGAATCAGATGGTCAGGCTTGCTGACTTGGTTGACACATGTCATCATATCCCAATTGCATAGATCGATTCTCATGCTGTTGATCTCTGGGTTGTCTTGTCCAGACTCAATTATTTACAGACCGCCATATAGCTGGAATATTGCTGAGTGCGGCGTTAAGCAACAAACAAATATACAAAACATACACAACAAAGTTGTGCGTCATTTAATTAGACAGCAGGTGATTTTAAAAAAGGTTTGATTTTTAAAGGGTTTGAAGTGTGTTTCAGATGCTGGCTGGGCATGATATATGTTGGTTGTTTATAGTTGTATGATACTGTCTTGTGTCAGCCCAGCAAGGAGTAAGGAACTCTTGGGTTAAAACGTCTGTAACTTCAAGTAAATGAACTGTTGATAGTTTTATCACAGAAGGAGGTCCTTCGATGCAGCGATACTTTCTGTGAAGTGCACAGGAGTTCTATGCAGTGACATAATAACTATAACAACAATATATAATAATGAATATTGATCAGCTGTGGAATGTTTAAAAGTCAACCCAGGGCAAAAATGAAAATGATAATATATGAAATCTTCGAACTACATCTTTCTTCAAAGATTTCAGTAGAAGTTGAAACTATAGACAGTGGACAGACAGTGAACAATGTGTCATACTGATCTTGATGTTTATAGACCAAACACCAACTGTTGGAAGACTATGACTCTGACAACTCGATTGTGGGACTGTCCGATGCTCTCAACATGGAGTCAAAGCAGTCAGGTGTCTCCAACACTAGCCGGAAGGTGATGAGACAGAATCAGCGGCTCTTGGCTGAGGTGGAAAAATTAGCATATGAACTTCAAGCAGCTAAAAGCAAGGTAAATCAGTGCTCCAGATTTATGGCTTAAACCCTGCAACCTAGTGGGACCACTTCCGGTGAAGGTACCCAGTTATATGGTTGTTAGTAAGTTTATCTTTACTCTGCTTTTAGCAATATTCCAGCACAATCAAGGCAGGGAACCTGAAATTGGCTTCAAACTTTGTACCTGTGTGGGGAATCAAACCCGTGTCTTTGGCATGACGATCGAACAGTTTAACCATTAGGCTACACCACCGCCTCAATATGTTTGTTAGGCTGGTAGCAGTCCCTATTTGGTAGCTGTGTGGTTATGGTGTTTGTTTGTCATGATAAATGTCGGAGTATGATTTTCCGCATGGGTACAAAGTGTAAAGCTCCATTCAGGTATCCCTTGCCATGATAGCTGTAATAAAACTTAAGGCCAGACCAATTTTATTTCTTGCATCTTGAAAAAAAAAAATCCGAATGTTTTTATTGGCCAAAAATGAAAACTTACAAGAAAAATGTTTTTAGATTGTTTTTTGCCCCATATACACTTAATAAATTGCCAAAAGTAAAATACTTTGAGTATTTATCAGGAATATTACTTTGACTGGTGATTTTATTTTTTTAATTTTTTTCCCTCCTGCCTTTATGTAAGTACATGTAATTTCATGTATATTCCATTCATGGTAAGAAGTATGTTCGGAACTATTTTTTTCTCAATTGGAGATTTTTTTCTCATCTTGTTTGTTTCATGCAAAGTACAGTGAGTGAATTACAACAGAACAGGTGTTTACATTGTCCAACCTGCCTACTTCACTCACTTGTTGCAGGCACGTGAGCTGTCTCGTGAAATGGAGAGTCAGAAGGAGATAGTACCTGAACTGGAGGACAAAATTGTCGGACTTCAAGCAGAAACAGAGGCTCAAGATAAGGCCCTGAGGTACTGTGGCAGTCAGGACTGCTTCTGTCTCTACTGCAGAACCTGCATCCATTGAAATGTTTCTCTCCATAAACTGTTTTAAAGTTTTCTGTTCTGGTGATGGATTGCAAGCTTGTGGAGGAGCAGTTAGAACAGTGTACGGTTGATATTATGTTGAGGAATGCTGAGGAGAGGTTAGATCAATGTACAGCTGATGTGTATGGTTGATGTTGCAGGAGTGCGGAGGAGAGGTTAGATCAATGTATAGCTGATGTGTATGGTTGATGTTGCAGGAGTGCGGAGGAGAGGTTAGATCAATGTACAGCTGATGTGTATGGTTGATGTTGAGGAATGCTGAGGAGAGGTTAGATCAATGTACAGCTGATGTGTATGGTTGATGTTGCAGGAGTGCGGAGGAGAGGTTAGATCAATGTACAGCTGATGTGTATGGTTGATGTTGAGGAGTGCTGAGGAGAGGTTAGATCAATGTACAGCTGATGTGTATGGTTGATGTTGCAGGAGTGCGGAGGAGAGGTTTGAGGACGGCCAGCGTGAGGTGGCTCAGCTGCAACAGAAGATGTCACGGTGCCAACAGGAAGTAGAGGACATGAGGACAGAGCTTCGTGAGGAGAGGACGATTCGTAAAAAGTAAGGGATTGTACTTCATGTAATGCAGGTGAAGGAAGAGTAGACTCATAACATTGGTTGTAAAATAGTTATGTTAAGGGAAAGTCAGTGTAGGGGAAGATCTGGCTGGGTATATGAGTGTGATTCAGCAGATCTGAAATGGGCCTTTTTGTACTGGCATACTTTTCACATTAATCTGACAAAACTGAAATACTATTAAACCCAATGCACTAACTCCTGACCAGCCTTTTGTGGTCTAGTGGATAGAGTGTCTGCTTGGAGAGCAGCATGTAGGTGGTTCGAACCCAGCACATGATGTACCAAAAGACAATGAAGATGGTACTTTTTGTTAACAAGGACTGGTCATCTCAGAGACAGTATTCTTGCTAACCCTTTTGTATCTCAGTAGGTTTATTCAGGAACTGTACAAGCTATCACACTAATGCTTACATGTCTTTATGTAAGAGCAAAGTGCTACCCAACCCAACCCAATCCATCTCACCAACGTGAGTCTGCCTTGTTTTCAGTCTTGAAACACAGAGAGATGAAGCCCTGCAGACCTTCCTGGAATCACAGGACTCACTGGAGGAATATCAGAAGAAGATGAAAGACAAAATCAAAAAGGTAATCAGAGCCTTTAAAATTCATTTTCTTCATGACTAGTGCTAACCTTATTTCACTAGTCCTGAGGGTTTATAGCTCATCAGACAAAGCTGTTTACCATCTTTACATATTCTGTGAGTTATGTTCCATTCTAGTTTGTAGCTGAACTATATTCATTTCCATCTGGTAGTGAAGATCTGGATCAGAACTGGTCTTCAGAGAGCACCAAGGTCAGAGAATAGTGCCCCCCTTACCATGACAGTGTTTTTGTTTGTTTGCTTGTTTGATGTTATTTAATGCTGCACTCAGCAGTATTCCAGCTATATGACAGCAGTCTGTAAATAATAGAGTCTGGACTAGACAATGCAGTGATCAACAGCATGAGAATCTATCTACGCAATTGGGATAAATGACAAGACAGGACAGTGAAATGAGTGTACAGTCAAGTGCCCATTAAGTGACAGTGAGCTGAGAGTGTAGAGCATAGACTCCCTTTAAGTGACAATGAGATGAGAGTGTAGAGCATAGACTACCTTTAAGTGACAATGAAATGAGAGCATAAAGCATAGACCGGCTTTAAGTGACAATGACATGAGAGTGTAGAACATAGACTCCCTTTAAGGGACAATGAGATGAGAGCATAAAGCATAGACCGGCTTTAAGTGACAATGACATGAGAGCATAAAGCATAGACCGGCTTTAAGTGACAATGACATGAGAGTGTAGAGCATAGAATCCCTTTAAATGACAATGACATGAGAGTGTAGAACATAAACTACCTTTAAGGGACAATATGAGAGCGTAGAGCATAGACCCCCCTTTAAGTGACAATGTGATGACAGTGCAGAGCATAGACTACCTTTAAGTGACAATGAGATGACAGCGTAGAGCATAGACCCCCTTTAAGTGACAGTGAGGTAAGAGCATTGAGCATACACACCCTTTAAGTGACAGTGAAATGAGAATGTAGAGCATAGACCCCCTTTTAGCGACAATGAGCTGAGAGTGTAGAGCATAGACCCCCTTTAAGTGACAGTGAAATGAGAATGTAGAGCATAGACCCCCTTTAAGTGACAATGAGCTGAGAGTGTAGAGCAGACTCCCTTAAAGTGACAATGAAATGAGATTGTAGAGCTCAGACCCCCTTTAAGCGACAATGACCTGAGAGTATAGAGCAGACTCCCTTAAAGTGACAATGAAATGAGAGTGTAGAGCATAGACTACCTTTAGGTGACAATGTGCTGAGAGTGTAGAGCATAGAGCCCCTCTAAGTGACAGTGAGCGTAGAGCGTAGACCCTCTTGTAAGTGACAATGAGCTGAGAGTATAGAGCATAGACTCCCTTTAAGTGACAATGAAATCAGAGTGTAGAGCATAGACCCCCTTTAAGTGACAATGAGATTAGACTATAGAGCATTGACTCCCTTTAAGTGACAATGAGCTGAGATCTTAGAGCATACATACACTTTAAGTGACAAGGGTCTGGGAGGGTAGAGCATAGACCCCCCTTTAAACGGCAGTGGGCTGAGAGGGTACAGCATAGACCCCTATTAAGAGACAATGAGATGAGAGCGTAAAGCATAGACTGGCTTTAAGTGACAATGAGATGAGAGTGTAGAGCATAGACTCCCTTTAAGTGACAATGACAAGAGAGTGTAGAGCAGACTCCCTGAAAGTGACAATGAAATGAGATTGAAGAGCATAGACCCCCTTTAATAATAATAAATAATAATAATAGGCCATTTATATAGAGCCTTTCCACGTCACAGGGATATGCTCAAAGCGCTTCCTGAGCTCAAGTTAAAACTATATACAGTTGGCAGGTACGGATGATTGGAAGTCACTTGTAGCGAAGAAATAGATGAGTCTTTAGTCGTGTTTTGAATGTACTTAGGGAAGGAGATGATTTTAACTCGATAGGGAGAGAGTTCCACAGAGAAGCTGCTGCATATGAAAAGGTCCTTGAGCCAAATGATTTGAGACTGTAGCTCGGGACAGCAAGTAACAGTTGTTGTGATGAGCGCAGGGTTCTTTCTGGAGAGTAATGTGTCAGAAGGTCTTGAAGGTAGGAAGGTCCTGAGTTGTAGAAAGACTTTAAGTGACAATGAGCTGAGAGTGTAGAGCAGGCTCCCTTAAAGTGACAATGAAATGAGAGCGTAGAGCATAGACCCCCTTTAAGCGACCATGAAATGAGATTGTAGAGCATAGACCCCCCATTAAGCGACAATGAGCTGAGAGTGTAGAGCAGACTCCCTTAAAGTGACAATGAAATGAGAGTGTAGAGCATAGACCCCCTTTAAGCGACCATGAAATGAGATCGTAGAGCACAGACCCCCCCTTTAAGTGACAATGAGCTGAGATCTTAGAGCATACTCCCTTAAAGTGACAATGTAATGAGAGTGTAGAGCATAGACCCCCTTTAAGTGGCAATGAGATGAGAGCGTAGAGCAGACACCCTTAAAGAGAGAATGAAATGAGAGTGTAGAGCATAGACTACCTTTAGGTGACAATGTGCTGAGAGTGAAGCGCATAGACCCCCTTTAAGTGACAGTGAGCTAAGAGCTTAGAGCATACACGGCTTTTAAGTGACAATGAAATGAGAATGTAGAGCGTAGACCCCTTTGAGTGACCATGGTCTGAGAGTGTAGAGCATAGACCCCCTTTCAGTGACAATGAGATGAGAATGTAGAGCATAGACCCCTTTAAGTGACAATGAGATGAGAATGTAGAGCATAGACCCCCTTTCAGTGACAATCAGATGAGTGTAAAGTACTACTGTGATGTGGTTGTGCTGCAGCTGGAGGGGAATGAGGACTACCTGAGAGACTCCCTGGCCCAGTCTGCCGGGGAGAGGGAGGAACTCCTGGAGAAGCTCACCCAGCAGCAGGTCGTCCTCGACCAGCAGGAGGAGGAGATACAGTGAGTCCCGGCTGGCCTGGCTTTATATGTATTAGGGTCCTCATGTTGGGGGATGGGGTTTGGGGATGTGTACCAAGCAGCTATACATGAGTGTTGGATGTGGTGCTTCATACTACTGAAATAAGCAATAAGTTATATAAATACACTGAAATCAGATTGACTTTCAAAATCAATTGCTCAAAACTTTTTTTCAATAACTGACTGTAGATAGACAAAACTTTGAGTTGAACATAAATTTTTATTTTTTTTTACGTTGTTTTTTAATCTTTTTTTTCTTCCATTTTTCCATTGGAACATGGACTCTAATCAAGTTTAAATACATGCTGTAGATTGCTGTTGTCTTGAGTGCTCACTTTTAGTCGTGGTTTCATGAACAACTGAAGAGTTCTACCATTTGATTTGAGTTGTTCTCATTCAGTAGTTCTCATTCACGTCTGATATTCTGCCACATGTCTGATATTCCACCACACATCTGATATTCTCCCACATGTCTGATATTCCACCACACGTCTGATATTCTGCCACATGTTTGACATTCTGCCACATGTCTGAAATTCCACCACACATCTGATATTTTGCCACAAGTCTGACATTCTGCCACATGTCTGATATTCTGCCACACATCTGATATTCTGCCACATGTCTGATATTCTGCCACACATCTGATATTCTGCCACATGTCTGACATTCCACCACACATCTGATATTCTGCAACATGTCCAATATTCCACCACACATCTGATATTCTGCCACATGTCTGACATTCCACCACACATCTGATATTCTGCCACATGTCTGATATTCCACCACACATCTGATATTCTGCCACATGTCCAATATTCCACCACACATCTGATATTCTGCCACATGTCTGACATTCTGACACATGCCTGATATTCTGCCACATGTCTGTCATTATGCCACACGTCTGATATTCTGCTACATGTCTGATATTCCACCACACATCTGATATTCTGCCACATGTCTGATTTTCTGCCGCACATATGATATTCTGCCACTTGTCTGACATTCCACCACACATCTGATATTCTGCCACATGTCTGATATTCCACCACACATCTGATATTCTGCCACATGTCTGATATTCTGCCACATGTTTGACATTCCACTGCACATCTGATATTCTGCCACATGTCTGACATTCTGCCACATGTCTGATATTATGCCACATGTCTGATATTCTGCCACATGTCTGATATTCTGCCACATGTCTGATATTCCACCACACATTTAATATTCTGCCACATGTCTGACATGCCACATGTCTGATATTCTGCCACATGTCTGACATTCTGGCACACGTCTGATATTCTGCCACATGTCTGACATTATGGCACACGTCTGATATTCTGCCACATGTCTGATATTCCACCACACATTTCATATTCTGCCACATGTCTGATATTCTGCCACATGTCTGACATTATGCCACATGTTTGACATTCCACTACACATCTGATATTCAGCCACATGTCTGACATTCCACCACACATCTGATATTCTGCCACATGTCTGATATTCTGCCACACATCTGATATTCTGCCACATGTCTGACATTCCACCACACATCTGATAATCTGCCACATGTCTGATATTCCACCACACATCTGATATTCTGCCACATGTCTGACATTCCACCACACATCTGATATTCCACCACCCATCTGATATTCTGCCACATGTCTGATATTCTGCCACACATCTGATATTCTGCCACATGTCTGACATTCCACCACACATCTGATATTCTGCCACATGTCTGATATTCCACCACACATCTGATATTCTGCCACATGTCTGATATTCTGCCACATGTCTGTCATTAAACCACACATCTGATATTCTGACACGTCTGATATTCTGCCACACGTCTGACATTCTGCCACATGTCTGACATTCTGCCACATGTCTGATATTCCACCACACATCTGATATTCTGCCACATGTCTGTCATTAAACCACACATCTGATATTCTGACACGTCTGATATTCTGCCACACGTCTGATATTCTGCCACATGTCTGACATTCTGCCACATGTCTGACATTCCACACCACATCTGATATTCTGCCACATGTCTGATATTCCACCACCACACATCTGATATTTTGCCACATGTCTGATATTCTGCCACCACTGATATGCCACATTCTGACATTCCACCACACATCTGATATTCTGCCACATGTCTGACATTGCCACATGTCCACACATCTGATGTTCTGCCACATGTCTGATATTCTGCCACATGTCTGATATTCCACACACATCTGCCACATCTGTTCTGCCACATGTCTGACATTCTGCCATTTGCCACATGATATTCTGCCACATGTCTGATATTCCACCACACATCTGATATTCTGCCACATGTCTGATATTCTGCCACATCTGACATTCTGCCACATGTCTGATATTCACCACCACATGTTTGACATTCCATTCTGCCCACATCTGATATTCTGCCACATGTCTGACATTCCACCACACGTCTGATATTCTGCCACATGTCTGACATTCTACCACACATCTGATATTCTGCCACATGTCTGATATTCCACCACACATCTGATATTCTGCCACATGTCTGACATTCCTGCCACACATCTGATATTCTGCCACATGTCTGACATTCTGCCACACATCTGATATTCTGCCACATGTCTGATATTCTGCCACATGTCTGATATTCTGCCACATGTCTGATATTCTGCCACATCTGATATTCTGCCACATGTCTGACATTCCACCACACATCTGATATTCTGCCACATGTCTGATATTCCACCACACATCTGATATTCTGACCACATGTCTGACCATTCTCTGCCACATGGGCTGATATTCTGCCACATGTCTGATATTCCACCACACATCTGATATTCTGCCACATGTCTGATATTCCACCACATCTGATATTCTGCTCTGATATTCTGCCATCTGATATTCTGCCACATGTCTGACATTCTGCCACATGTCTGACATTCCACCACACATCTGATATTCTGCCACATGTCTGATATTTCACCACATGTCGATTTTGCCACATGTCTGATATTCTGCCACCACATGTCTGATGTCTTATTCCACCACACATCTGATATTCTGCCACATGTCTGACATTCCACCACACATCTGATATTCTGCCACATGTCTGACATTCCACCACACATCTGATATTCTGCCACATGTCTGACATTCCACCTACACATCTGATATTCTGCCCACATGTCTGACCATGTCCATTCACACATCTGATATTCTGCCACATGTCTGATATTCCACATCTGATTCTGCCACATGTCTGACATTCTGATATTCCACATTCATATGTCATGTCACATCTGCATACATGTCCATATTCCACATTTCTGTCTGATGTCTGCCACATGTCCATATTCTGTCATAGTCCATTGGCTCGTCCTGTGATTCCACATCTGTCTATTCTGCCACATGTCTGATATTCCACCACACATCTGATATTCCACATGTCTGATATATTCTACCACATGTCTGATATTTCCACATGTCTCCACATTCTTCATGTCTGATATTCTGCCATCTGATATTCCACCACATGTCTGATATTCTGCCACATGTCTGATATTCTGCCACATGTTTGACATTCCACCACATCTGATATTCTGCCACATGTCTGACATTCTGCCCACATCTGATATTCTGTCCACATGTGATATTCACCACATGTCTGATATTCTGCACATGTCTGATGTCTGCCACATGTCTGATATTCCGCCATGTCTGACACATCTGATATTCTGCCACATGTCTGACATTCCACCACATTCCTGTTCTATTCTACCACATGTGATATTCTGCCACATGTCTGACATTCCACTGATGATGATATTCTGCCACATGTCTGTTATTTCAATATTCTGTCCACATCTCCATATTGTTCATTCTGATATTTGCCACCACATGATATTCTGCCACATGTCTGTCCATTCCACCACACATCTGATTCTGCCACATGTCTGATATTCCACCATTCATCTGTCACTGTCTGCCACATGTCTGCCATTCCACCACACATCTGATATTCCTGTGTGTCTGACATTCTGCCACATGTCTGATATTCTGCCACATCTGATGTTGTGATTCCACATGTCTGATATTCTGCCACATGTCTGATGTTCTGCCATATGTCTGATATTCCACATGTCTGATATTCTGCCACATGTCTGATATTCCACCACATCTGATTATATTGTCTGTCATGCATCACATGTCTGTATGACATTTCTGATGTCCACCACATGTCTGTGTATTCTGTTCCATCTGATATTGTGCCACATGTCTGTGTTCCACATCTGATATTCCACCCACATCTGTCTCACATGTCTGTGTTCATACCACATCTGATATTCCACCACACATCTGATATTCTTGCCACATGTGACATTCTGTGCCACATGTCTGATATTCCACCCACATGTCATGATATTCCCACCACACATCTGATATTCATGTCTGTCCATGTCTGATATTCTGTGTCGTGTCTGATATTCTGCCACATGTCTGTCTGACATTCTGCCACATGTCTGATATTCTGCCACATGTCCATATTCTGCCACATGTCTGATATTCCACACATCTGCCACATATTCTGACCACATGTCTGTGATATTCTGCCACACGTCTGATATTCTGCCACATGTCTGATATTCTGCCACATGTCTGATACATTCCACCTGCACATCTCCATGTCTTGCCACATGTCTGATGCCACATGTCTGATATTATGCCACATGTCTGATATTCTGCCACATGTCTGATATTCTGCCACATGTCTGATATTCCACCACACATTTAATATTCTGCCACATGTCTGACATGCCACATGTCTGATATTCTGCCACATGTCTGACATTATGGCACACGTCTGATATTCTGCCACATGTCTGATATTCCACCACACATTTCATATTCTGCCACATGTCTGATATTCTGCCACATGTCTGACATTATGCCACATGTTTGACATTCCACTACACATCTGATATTCAGCCACATGTCTGACATTCCACCACACATCTGATATTCTGCCACATGTCTGATATTCTGCCACACATCTGATATTCTGCCACATGTCTGACATTCCACCACACATCTGATAATCTGCCACATGTCTGATATTCCACCACACATCTGATATTCTGCCACATGTCTGACATTCCACCACACATCTGATATTCCACCACCCATCTGATATTCTGCCACATGTCTGATATTCTGCCACACATCTGATATTCTGCCACATGTCTGACATTCCACCACACATCTGATATTCTGCCACATGTCTGATATTCCACCACACATCTGATATTCTGCCACATGTCTGATATTCTGCCACATGTCTGTCATTAAACCACACATCTGATATTCTGACACGTCTGATATTCTGCCACACGTCTGATATTCTGCCACATGTCTGACATTCTGCCACATGTCTGATATTCCACCACACATCTGATATTCTGCCACATGTCTGATATTCTGCCACATGTCTGTCATTAAACCACACATCTGATATTCTGACACGTCTGATATTCTGCCACACGTCTGATATTCTGCCACATGTCTGACATTCTGCCACATGTCTGACATTCCACCACACATCTGATATTCTGCCACATGTCTGATATTCCACCACACATCTGATATTTTGCCACATGTCTGATATTCTGCCACATGTTTGACATTCCACTACACATCTGATATTCTGCCACATGTCTGACATTCCACCACACATCTGATATTCTGCCACACATCTGATATTCTGCCACATGTCTGATATTCCACCACACATCTGATATTTTGCCACATGTCTGATATTCTGCCACATGTCTGACATTATGGCATACGTCTGATATTCTGCCACATGTCTGATATTCCACCACACATTTCATATTCTGCCACACATCTGATATTCTGCCACATGTCTGACATTATGCCACATGTTTGACATTCCACTACACATCTGATATTCAGCCACATGTCTGACATTCCACCACACATCTGATATTCTGCCACATGTCTGATATTCTGCCACACATCTGATATTCTGCCACATGTCTGACATTCCACCCACATCTGATAATCTGCCACATGTCTGATATTCCACCACACATCTGATATTCTGCCACATGTCTGACATTCCACCACACATCTGATATTCCACCACCCATCTGATATTCTGCCACTGATATGTCTGATATTCTGCCACACATCTGATATTCTGCCACATGTCTGACATTCCACCACACATCTGATATTCTGCCACATGTCTGATATTCCACCACACATCTGATATTCTGCCACATGTCTGATATTCTGCCACATGTCTGTCATTAAACCACACATCTGATATTCTGACACGTCTGATATTCTGCCACACGTCCGATATTCTGCCACATGTCTGACATTCTGCCACATGTCTGATATTCCACCACACATCTGATATTCTGCCACATGTCTAATATTCTGCCACATGTCTGTCATTAAACCACACATCTGATATTCTGACACGTCTGATATTCTGCCACACGTCTGATATTCTGCCACATGTCTGACATTCTGCCACATGTCTGACATTCCACCACACATCTGATATTCTGCCACATGTCTGATATTCCACCACACATCTGATATTTTGCCACATGTCTGATATTCTGCCACATGTTTGACATTCCACTACACATCTGATATTCTGCCACATGTCTGACATTCCACCACACATCTGATATTCTGCCACACATCTGATATTCTGCCACATGTCTGATATTCCACCACACATCTGATATTTTGCCACGTCTGATATTCTGCCACATGTTTGACATTCCACTACACATCTGATATTCAGCCACATGTCTGACATTCCACCACACATCTGATATTCTGCCACATGTCTGATATTATGCCACATGTCTGATATTATGCCACATGTCTGATATTCCACCACACATCTGATATTCTGCCACAAGTCTGATATTCCACCACACATCTGATAATCTGCCACATGTCTGATATCTTAAACCACACATCTGATATTCTGCCACATGTCTGATATTTTGCCACATGTCTGATATTCTACCACATGTCTGATATTCTGCCACATGTCTAATATTCTGCCACATGTCTAATATTCTGCCACATGTCTGATATTCTGTGCACCAGGAGGCTCCAGGCGCTGGAGGCTGTGGAGCTGGAGACCAAGGCCGACATGGAGCAGCAGAACCTTGACCTGCGGGAGAACATCACAAAAATTACAACTAGATTCAGTAAGTATTGACAAAATCAGTGAATATTAAATCATGGGCAGACTCACCACCAGATTCAATGAGTTTATTTGGCAGACGTACATCCAGATGAATGAGTGAGTGAGTTTAGTTTTATGCTGCACTCAGCAATATTCCTGCTATATGACATGTGTCAACCAAGTCAGTGAGGCTGAGCACCCGATCCTGTTAGTCGCCTCTTACGACAAGCTTGGGTTACTGAAGATGAATTCTAACCCGGATCTTCACAGGTCATTAAAGAAAGAGGTTGCATAGTGTCATGAAGTGTTAAACTTGAGGCAGAATGTGTTTACAAGAAAGGAATCACTCCAGCACCCTCCATATCTGCCTGTTTGACATTGTTGATAGTGCACACTGGATGACCCATGTTTATTGGAGAACACTCAGGACTGAAGAGGTCAATGTGTTGCAGACCAGAATGTAGAGCATAGACCGACATAAGTGACAATAAGATGAGAGAGTAAAGTACTACTTTGATGTGACTGTGCTGCATGTTTCTTGGACTACATTCAGGACTGAAGTCATTGGTGTGTTGCAGACCAGCTGGAGGCGGAGCTGAGCTACATGGAGAGTGTGAGGCGAGAAAACTTGCGGCTCAAGACTCAGCTGCAGAGTCAGGAACAGCAACTGAATCAGTGTCAGGACGAGGTGGAGGAAAGTCGTACCATCCTCGCGCAGCTCGAACAGTTCACCATGCAGCTCCATCTCTCACAGACAGGGGTCAGTGAAAACTCTTGTCACTGGGGTGGCTACTCTTGCATCATACAGGGCTCGATTTAGTGTTTTGTTACTTGCACTGGTGCAACCCAATATTACAAAGTGCAACCTAGTTTTTAGTCTAACTTGCACCTGGTGCAAGTAAATGTTTGAGTGGGTAAACTTCTGAAAAAAACATCTAAATAATTCAATAGCATATTTCTGTCATTACATATTGCAATAAAAGCAGTGCAACTAGAATTTGGCTGGTGCAACTAGGTTTTTATCTTAGGTTGCACCTGGTGCAAGTAGGTTAGCATCTCTTAAATCTAGCCCTGTCTTGTGTCTTACGTCAGGCTGGACTACCTTGGAATACTTATTTTAGCTCTAGAATTCAATTAAATGAGTATGTGTTGTTTTATGAGGTATACAACAGAAACTGGGGACTTGACCTCTAACCATTTCAGGGAAGCTTTTTCCCAAAGATTCCAGCCAGCTTACTAAACAGGATTGGTTTGACGTTGCTTGTAATAAACATATCAGGATGAAGGGACGTCTTATTTGGAAGTAGCTGCTGTCATTCTAATGATCAGGATTACCCATCCATTAGTTTATGCGACAGTTATATTGATACACAGGGTTCATATAACTTGGTTCATTGTGTGCTGTTGTAGCTGGGACGTTACTCATATCACCCCTTGGTTTGTCTGATCCAGGGCTTGGTGAAGCTGTAATGTTGCTGACTGTGACCTAAAACAACCTTCACCCCTTGTGTTTTCAGGCCAACAATAGCAACAATGACAGTGGAATGTCCAGCATGAATCAACTGTCTAGTCCAGGAAGACACAGCAAGTCGGGGGCAGCAGTCAGCCTGAGTAACACTGTTGGGTCTGGGTTTGAATCTCAGCCAGGTGCTACAGTCCGTGGAGGGGGTGCCAGGGCTTTACTGACAGATCTCAGGTAAAATCTTATCACAAATTTGAGGTGCAGATACATAGTACTCTCTGAAAAACCTGGACGTGGCCCCAACAACACTTTAATTATCATTATAGGATATTTTTATAGCACACATATCCACGCACTAGTGCCTGCTCAAGGCACTGGTATTTTTACCATCGATCATTGGATGTCGTCTCAACGGCACATCTTATTATCAGTCTCAGCTTTACCTTGAAGCTGATGTTTGCCACATTAACAGTTGTGGAAAGCACAGATAATCCTCTCACAAAGCCATGAAACTTGGCGGCCGAGTCAGTTTTGACACCAGAAATCTATAATTGTGGGTTCAAAACCTGGTTCACTTGGTCTCAAGGTTTATGAGCATCATGCCCTTGTGGGTTTCACCAAAGTCATAAACATAACGATGGACTTTCCTCCCTAACCATGGTAACATACCATCATATAACTGGTAAACTGTTCAAAGCAGCATTAAACACCACTCTCACTCACTCACTCACTCACTCACTCACTCACTCACTCACTCACTCACTCACTCACTCTCACACTCTCTCACTCTCACTCACTCACTCACTCACTCACTCACTCACTCACTCACTCATTGTTATCTAATGCTATATCAGTCTTTTTATTTGGTAGACCAGCATGTGTTTTATAACAAAGAGCCGTCAAGTTTTGGTAACAAACATAGCTGACTCCCAGCTATGTAAGTGCTCACAATTTTCCAATACAGCTTCCCAGAAGATTCAAATTATTTTGTGGAATCACTTCTCTAATACACAGACACAAATTACTGTCATGGAGTATATGAATTCACATGTTAAGACAAATCATTGTGATTTCAGACTAAAGTTATCCCTGAAAGATGCTGAGATTCATCGCCTGCAGACATGTCTTCAGTCTCGAGAGAGAGACAACCCAGCCTCAATGATCGAAGGTTTACGAGCAGATCTGTCAGCCATGATGGATAAAAACCAACAAGGTGAGTAAACTTCATGATTGCCTGTCTCTTGTCCTTGCTCCTCCTTGTCACTTTGTATCAGGGGCCAGAGGTGGTTGTTTGTGGAGTTTTGTCCCTTGGATTTGACAGGACCCTATGATCTTGGTTCAAATCTGGTTTTGCTCTTATTGTCTTTACAGGTTTGTTGGCACCACACCCATTCTCATGTGTTTCGCCTTAGTGGTTAACATCTGAGATCTACATCACCACCTTAGGCTATCCTCTAACTTGTAGCAGACACGGCTTCTTGTAACTGGAATACTGTACACAACGACAGTACAGTCACTCACTCACTCCTCCAATCTTTCACCCAATTACTCACTCTCTCACCCAATTACTAACTCACCCAATTACTCCTCCAATCACTACTCTCTCACCCAGTCACTCACTCTCTCACCCAATTACTCTCTCTCACCCAATTACTCTCTCTCACCCAATCACTCACTCTCTCACCCAATTACTCCTCCAATCACTACTCTCTCACCCAGTCACTCACTCTCTCACCCAATTACTCACTCTCAACCAATTACTCTCTCTCACCCAATCAATCACTCTCTCACCCAATTACTCCTCCAATCACTACTCTCTCACCCAGTCACTCACTCTCTCACCCAATTACTCACTCTCTCTCACCCAATCACTCACTCTCTCACCAATTACTCACTCTCTCACAATCGCTCACTTTCTGACCAATTACTCTCTCTCAACCAATTACTCACTCTCTCACCAATTACTCACTCTCTCACAATCACTCCCTCTCTCACAATCACTCACTCTCTCACCAATTACTCACTCTCTCACAATCACTCACTCCTCCAATCACTCACTCTCTCACCCAGTCACTCACTCTTTCACCAATTACTCTCTCTCTCACAATCGCTCACCCTCATTTCTTTCAGGAAGTTTGAAAAGCCAGGAGATGGAGGGTGTGCTCAGTCGGCTGGAGGCAGACCGATCTAAACTGGCTGCCCAGCTCTGTGATATGAAACGGGATCTGTCGGACAAGGATGCTCAGACGTTGTCCCTGGAGGCGCGCCTCACTCAGAGGAACTCCCAGATCATCGAGTTCCAGGAGGACGCCAACAGGAAGTGTACAGAGATAAGCAACTTGGAGAGAGAGGTCAGTTCCTACACCAGCATTCAGGCCAGACAAATGTCACACCGGTTAATCAGGGTGTCAGTATACAGTGATCTAGATCCGTAAAGAACCACTATAAACGAACTGACGGATACAGCAAACTCTTCTTGTTGTCCCAACCACTGGCTATATACTTTAGTTGATGTACTCAGCGTTTAAAATTCCCGCCTGCCCGACCGTCCAGAACGGTCTATTTTCATCTCGGACGGTCAAATATCATAAGTAGCCTGTCCGGTGGTCTGGTAGATGTTTTTACCCCTAACAGTAAATGTTTCATAATGTCAGACAGGTCCTCTTGTCAGTTTGAGGTGTTTAAAGTATTATGATAATTATGTTAAACTATTTACGATTGGACAGTTCATTTTACAATAACCAATCTCAACTGATGTACTTTCAGTTTACCTAAACTCGGTGCATTGCCTGTTAGTGCTATGTTGTTCATTGCGATGCCTACAAACAGGACTGTATTCAGAAACCTGATTTTTTTGGTTTGTTTTTCATTGTTGAAAACCGGACAGGCAAGTTTGTATCCGGACTGGTAATTTTTAAAGTTACCAGTCCGGCTGTCTGGCTTGGAAGTGTGGGAGTTTTAAACACTGATGTACTGCAATAAGATGCACGTGACAAACTAAAATTAGTGGTCCCTTTGACAGAGGTACAGATAAGCTGCGTGTAATTCCTGTTATGTCTGTTGCGTACAAGTACGCTTGAAGTTTTGTAAATACTCAATAAATGTGATCTTGCATGCGTACACACAAAAATGTCAAATCTTTGCGCACCGGTGCATAGATAAAATAACTGAAGTATATTAAGAGGTTCTATTTCAGGAGGGGCGGTGGGGTAGCCTAGTGGTTAAAGCGTTGGCTCGTCACGCCGAAGACCCGGGTTCGAATCCCCACATGGGTGCAATGTGTGAAGCCCATTTCTGGTGTCCCCCGCCGTGATGTTGCTGGAATATTGCTAAAAGCGGCGTAAAACCAAACTCAGTCAGTCAGTCAGTCTATTTCAGGACATGAACGTGGCAACTTTCAGTCTTTCTTATTGTTTCTCATATTACAGATCAAATATAAATAACAAACACTAACATTGAAACTTTATCATATTTTTAAAATTAATGGAAAATGGCAAAATACCCATTTGAGTCTGAGTGAGGTGAGTAGAATTTATTTGGTTACTCAAGGGAAATTTTGTTACCCAACTGAGATGAACACAAGCGAGTACATAACCCATTGACCCAAAAAGTTATCTGTAGCTCTGCTTTGAGTTCATTCTAACCATAGTTTACTGTATAGTGAAACACCATTAACGTATATGTGCCCTTGCAGTAGTTAAAGGCTCACTGAGAGCCAAGGGGGGAAACTGCAGGGAAGAGATGGAGGGTCCCACTTTGAGTCTGTTATAACCTTGTATAGCGAAACACCATTAACGTATATGTGCCCTTGCAGTAGTTACAGGCTCACTGAGAGCCAAGGGGGGAAACTGCAGGGAAGAGATGGAGGGTCCCACTTTGAGTCTGTTATAACCTTGTATAGCGAAACACCATTAACGTATATGTGCCCTTGCCAGAGATGCAGTAGTTTAAGGCTCACTGAGGGGCAAGGAGGGTAACTCTGCAGGGAAGAGATGGAGGGTCCCACTTTGAGTCTGTTATAACCTTGTATAGCGAAACACCATTAACGTATATGTGCCCTTGCCAGAGATGCAGTAGTTTAAGGCTCACTGAGGGGCAAGGAGGGTAACTCTGCAGGGAAGAGATGGAGGGTCCCACTTTGAGTCTGTTATAACCTTGTATAGCGAAACACCATTAATTATATGTGCCCTTGCCAGAGATGCAGTAGTTTAAGGCTCACTGAGGGGCAAGGAGGGTAACTCTGCAGGGAAGAGATGGAGGGTCCCTCTTTGAGTCTGTTATAACCTTGTATAGCGAAACACCATTAACGTATATGTGCCCTTGCAGTAGTTACAGGCTCACTGAGGGGCAAGGAGGGTAACTCTGCAGGGAAGAGATGGAGGGTCCCTCTTTGAGTCTGTTATAACCTTGTATAGTGAAACACCATTAACGTATATGTGCCCTTGCAGTAGTTACAGGCTCACTGAGAGCCAAGGGGGGAAACTCTGCAGGGAAGAGATGGAGGGTCCCTATTTGAGTCTGTTATAACCTTGTATAGTGAAACACCATTAACGTATATGTCCCCTTGCAGTAGTTACAGGCTCATTGAGGGGCAAGGAGGGGAACTCTGCAGGGAAGAGATCGGAGGGACCGACTTTGAGTCTGTTATAACCTTGTATAGTGAAACACCATTAGCAGTATATGTCCCTTGCAGTAGTTACAGGCTCATTGAGGGGCAAGGGAGGGAACTCTGCAGGGGAAGAGATCGGAGGGACCGACTTTGAGTCTGTTATAACCTTCATAGTGAAACACCATTAACGTATATGTCCCCTTGCAGTAGTTTCAGGCTCATTGAGGGGCAAGGAGGGGAACTCTGCAGGGAAGAGATCGGAGGGACCGACTTTGAGTCTGTTATAACCTTGTATAGTGAAACACCATTAACGTATATGTCCCCTTGCAGTAGTTACAGGCTCACTGAGGGGCAAGGAGGGGAAACTCTGCAGGGAATGGATGGAGGGTCCCACTTTGAGTCTGTTATTACCTTGTATAGTGAAACACCATTAACGTATATGTCCCCTTGCAGTAGTTACAGGCTCATTGAGGGGCAAGGAGGGGAACTCTGCAGGGAAGAGATCGGAGGGACCGACTTTGAGTCTGTTATAACCTTGTATAGTGAAACACCATTAGCGATATATGTCCCTTGCAGTAGTTACAGGCTCATTGAGGGGCAAGGAGGGAACTCTGCAGGGAAGAGATCGGAGGGACCCGACTTTGAGTCTGTTATTACCTTGTATAGTGAAACACCATTAACGATATGTCCCCTTGCAGTAGTTACAGGCTCATTGAGGGGCAAGGAGGGGAACTCTGCAGGGAAGAGATCAGGAGGGACCCGACTTTGAGTCTGTTATAACCTTGTATAGTGAAACACCATTAGCGTATATGTCCCCTTGCAGTAGTTACAGGCTCACTGAGGGGCAAGGAGGGGAACTCTGCAGGGAATGGATGGAGGGTCCCACTTTGAGTCTGTTATAACCTTGTATAGTGAAACACCATTAAGCGTTATATGTCCCTTGCAGTAGTTACAGGCTCATTGAGGGGCAAGAGGGAACTCTGCAGGGGAAGAGATCGGAGGGACCGACTTTGAGTCTGTTATAACCTTGTATAGTGAAACACCATTAACGTATATGTCCCCTTGCAGTAGTTACAGGCTCACTGAGGGCAAGGGGGAAACTCTGCAGGGAATGGATGGAGGGTCCCACTTTGAGTCTGTTATTACCTTGTATAGTGAAACATCATTAGCATTATATGTCCCCTTGCAGTAGTTACAGGCTCATTGAGGGGGCAAGGAGGGGAACTCTGCAGGAAGAGATCGGGAGGGACCGACTTTGAGTCTGTTATAACCTTGTATAGTGAAACACCATTAACGTATATGTCCCCTTGCAGTAGTTACAGGCTCACTGAGGGGCAAGGAGGGGAACTCTGCAGGGAATGGATGGAGGTCCCACTTTGAGTCTGTTATAACCTTGTATAGTGAAACACCATTAAACGTATATGTCCCCTTGCAGTAGTTACAGGCTCATTGAGGGGCAAGGAGGGAACTCTGCAGGGAAGAGATCGGAGGGACCGACTTTGAGTCTGTTATAACCTTGTATAGTGAAACACCATTAGCGATATGTCCCCTTGCAGTAGTTACAGGCTCACTGAGGGGCAAGGAGAAACTCTGCAGGGAATGGATGGAGGGTCCCTATTTGAGTCTGTTATAACCTTGTATAGTGAAACACCATTAACGTATATGTCCCCTTGCAGTAGTTACAGGCTCATTGAGGGGCAAGGAGGGGAAACTCTGCAGGGAATGGATGGAGGGTCCCTATTTGAGTCTGTTATAACCTTGTATAGTGAAACACCATTAACGTATATGTCCCCTTGCAGTAGTTACAGGCTCACTGAGGGGCAAGGAGGGGAAACTCTGCAGGGAATGGATGGAGGGTCCCTATTTGAGTCTGTTATAACCTTGTATAGTGAAACACCATTAACGTATATGTCCCCTTGCAGTAGTTACAGGCTCATTGAGGGGCAAGGAGGGGAACTCTGCAGGGAAGAGATCGGAGGGACCGACTTTGAGTCTGTTATAACCTTGTATAGTGAAACACCATTAACGTATATGTCCCCTTGCAGTAGTTACAGGCTCACTGAGGGGCAAGGAGGGGAAACTCTGCAGGGAATGGATGGAGGGTCCCACTTTGAGTCTGTTATAACCTTGTATAGTGAAACACCATTAACGTATATGTCCCCTTGCAGTAGTTACAGGCTCATTGAGGGGCAAGGAGAACTCTGCAGGGAAGAGATCGGAGGGACCGACTTTGAGTCTGTTATAACCTTGTATAGTGAAACACCATTAACGTATATGTCCCCTTGCAGTAGTTACAGGCTCACTGAGGGGCAAGGAGGGGAAACTCTGCAGGGAATGGATGGAGGGTCCCTATTTGAGTCTGTTATAACCTTGTATAGTGAAACACCATTAACGTATATGTCCCCTTGCAGTAGTTACAGGCTCATTGAGGGGCAAGGAGGGGAACTCTGCAGGGAAGAGATCGGAGGGACCGACTTTGAGTCTGTTATAACCTTGTATAGTGAAACACCATTAACGTATATGTCCCCTTGCAGTAGTTACAGGCTCACTGAGGGCCAAGGGGGGGAAACTATGCAGGGAAGAGATGGGAGGGACCCACTTTGAGTCTGTTATAACCTTGTGTAGTGAAACACCATTAACGTATACGTGCCCTTGCCAGAGATGCAGTAGTTACAGGCTCACTGAGGGCCAAGGGGGTTAAACTCTGCAGGGAAGAGATGGGAGGGACCCCCTGAGGAAGAAATGATAATGTATTTCTTTACCAACATTGGAGTTCGCTGGTTGACTGTTTTTTTCATTAGTTTTCTTAACAAAATGTGAAGCATAATATCGGATCAGATTGGTTTCTATGGCTGCACAGATCAGTGGATTGTCTGTGCAGTCAAATGGCGTATTGGATTCTTCTTTTTGTCTAAGAGGTCAAATAGATGTAATGTATTCTTTCATGCTGCACCACTCCTAAACAACATGATTCAAGAAAGATATTGTGTATTAATGCATGAAATTTCTGAGCAATATGAGAATGTAATATGTGTCTGAGAAAAACATTGCTTGGTTGAGTTTGTGTTGTATTGTATTGCTTGGTTGAGTTTGTGTTTTATTGTATTGCGTGGTTGAGTTTGTGTTGTATTGTATTGTTTCGTTGAGTTTGTGTTGTATTGTATTGCTTGGTGGAGTTTGTGTTGTATTGTATTGCTTGGATGAGTTTGTATTGCTTGGTGGAGTTTGTGTTGTATTGTATTGCTTGGTTGAGTTTGTATTGTATTGTATTGCTTGGTTGAGTTTGTATTGTATTGTTTGGTTGTGTTTGTGTTGTATTGTATTGCTTGGTGGAGTTTGTGTTGCTTGGTGGAGTTTGTGTTGTATTGTATTGCTTGGTTGAGTTTGTGTTGTATTGTATTGCTTGGTTGAGTTTGTATTGTATTGTTTGGTTGTGTTTGTGTTGTATTGTATTGCTTGGTGGAGTTTGTGTTGCTTGGTGGAGTTTGTGTTGTATTGTATTGCTTGGTTGAGTTTGTGGTGTATTGTATTGCTTGGTTGAGTTTGTGTTGTATTGTATTGCTTGGTTGAGTTTGTATTGTATTGTTTGGTTGTGTTTGTGTTGTATTGTATTGCTTGGTGGAGTTTGTGTTGCTTGGTGGAGTTTGTGTTGTATTGTATTGCTTGGTTGAGTTTGTGTTGTATTGTATTGCTTGGTTGAGTTTGTATTGTATTGTTTGGTTGTGTTTGTGTTGTATTGTATTGCTTGGTGGAGTTTGTGTTGTATTGTATTGCGTGGTTGAGTTTGTGTTGTATTGTATTGCTTGGTTGAGTTTGTGTTTTATTGTATTGTTTCATTGAGTTTGTGGTGTATTGTATTGCTTGGTTGAGTTTATGTTGTATTGTATTGCTTGGTTGAGTTTGTATTGTATTGTTTGGTTGTGTTTGTGTTGTATTGTATTGCGTGGTTGAGTTTGTGTTTTATTGTATTGCGTGGTTGAGTTTGTGTTGCTTGGTGGAGTTTGTGTTGTATTGTATTGCTTGGTGGAGTTTGTGTTGTATTGTATTGCTTGGATGAGTTTGTATTGCTTGGTGGAGTTTGTGTTGTATTGTATTGCTTGGTTGAGTTTGTGTTGCTTGGTGGAGTTTGTGTTGTATTGTATTGCTTGGTGGAGTTTGTGTTGTATTGTATTGCTTGGATGAGTTTGTATTGCTTGGTGGAGTTTGTGTTGTATTGTATTGCTTGGTGGAGTTTGTGTTGTATTGTATTGCTTCGTTGAGTTTGTGGTGTATTGTATTGCTTGGTTGAGTTTGTGTTGTATTGTATTGCTTGGATGAGTTTGTATTGCTTGGTGGAGTTTGTGTTGTATTGTATTGCTTGGTGGAGTTTGTGTTGTATTGTATTGTATTATGAATTGAGTTTGTGGTGTATTGTATTGCTTGGTGGAGTTTGTGTTGCATTGTATTGCTTGGTGGAGTTTGTGTTGTATTGTATTGCTTGGATGAGTTTGTATTGTTTGGTGGAGTTTGTGTTGTATTGTATTGCTTGGTGGAGTTTGTGTTGTATTGTATTGCGTGGTTGAGTTTGTGTTGTATTGTATTGCGTGGTTGAGTTTGTGTTGTATTGTATTGTTTCGTTGAGTTTGTGTTGTATTGTATTGCTTGGTGGAGTTTGTATTGCTTGGTTGAGTTTGTGTTGTATTGTATTGCTTGGTTGAGTTTGTGTTGTATTGTATTGCTTGGTTGAGTTTGTGTTGTATTGTATTGCTTGGTTGAGTTTGTGTTGTATTGTATTGCTTGGTTGAGTTTGTGTTGTATTGTATTGCTTGGTTGAGTTTGTGTTGTATTGTATTGCTTGGTTGAGTTTGTGTTGTATTGTATTGCTTGGTTGAGTTTGTGTTGTATTGTATTGCTTGGTTGAGTTTGTGTTGTATTGTATTGCTTGGTTGAGTTTGTGTTGTATTGTATTACTTGGTTGAGTTTGTGTTGTATTGTATTGCTTGGATGAGTTTGTATTGCTTGGTGGAGTTTGTGTTGTATTGTATTGCTTGGTGGAGTTTGTGTTGTAGTGTATTGCTTGGTTGAGTTTGTGTTGTATTGTATTGCTTGGATGAGTTTGTATTGCTTGGTGGAGTTTGTGTTGTATTGTATTGCTTGGATGAGTTTGTGTTGCTTGGTGGAGTTTGTGTTGTATTGTATTGCTTGGTGGAGTTTGTGTTGTATTGTATTGCTTGGTTGAGTTTGTGTTGTATTGTATTGCTTGGTGGAGTTTGTGGTGTATTGTATTGCTTGGTTGAGTTTGTGTTGTATTGTATTGCTTGGATGAGTTTGTATTGCTTGGTGGAGTTTGTGTTGTATTGTATTGCTTGGTGGAGTTTGTGTTGTATTGTATTGCTTGGTGGAGTTTGTGTTGTATTGTATTGCTTGGTGGAGTTTGTGTTGTATTGTATTGCTTGGATGAGTTTGTATTGCTTGGTGGAGTTTGTGTTGTATTGTATTGCTTGGTGGAGTTTGTGGTGTATTGTATTGCTTGGTTGAGTTTGTGTTGTATTGTATTGCTTGGATGAGTTTGTATTGCTTGGTGGAGTTTGTGTTGTATTGTATTGCTTGGTGGAGTTTGTGTTGTATTGTATTGCTTGGTGGAGTTTGTGTTGTATTGTATTGCTTGGTGGAGTTTGTGTTGTATTGTATTGCTTGGTTGAGTTTATGTTGTATTGTATTGCTTGGTTGAGTTTGTATTGTATTGTTTGGTTGTGTTTGTGTTGTATTGTATTGCTTGGATGAGTTTGTGTTTTATTGTATTGTTTCATTGAGTTTGTGGTGTATTGTATTGCTTGGTGGAGTTTGTGTTGTATTGTATTGCTTGGTGGAGTTTGTGTTGTATTGTATTGCTTGGATGAGTTTGTATTGCTTGGTGGAGTTTGTGTTGTATTGTATTGCTTGGTTGAGTTTATGTTGTATTGTATTGCTTGGTTGAGTTTGTATTGTATTGTTTGGTTGTGTTTGTGTTGTATTGTATTGCGTGGTTGAGTTTGTGTTTTATTGTATTGAGTGGTTGAGTTTGTGTTGTATTGTATTGTTTCGTTGAGTTTGTGTTGTATTGTATTGCTTGGTGGAGTTTGTGTTGTATTGTATTGCTTGGTTGAGTTTGTGTTGTATTGTATTGCTTGGTTGAGTTTGTGTTTTATTGTATTGCTTGGTTGAGTTTGTATTGTATTGTATTGCTTGGTTGAGTTTGTGTTTTATTGTATTGCGTGGTTGAGTTTGTGTTGTATTGTATTGCTTCGTTGAGTTTGTGGTGTATTGTATTGCTTGGTTGAGTTTGTGTTGTATTGCTTGGTTGAGTTTGTATTGTATTGTTTGGTTGTGTTTGTGTTGTATTGTATTGCGTGGTTGAGTTTGTGTTGTATTGTATTGCTTGGTTGAGTTTGTGTTGTATTGTATTGCTTGGTTGAGTTTGTATTGTATTGTTTGGTTGTGTTTGTGTTGTATTGTATTGCGTGGTTGAGTTTGTGTTGTATTGTATTGCTTGGTTGAGTTTGTGTTTTATTGTATTGCGTGGTTGAGTTTGTGTTTTATTGTATTGCGTGGTTGAGTTTGTATTGTATTGTATTGCGTGGTTGAGTGTGTGTTGTATTGTATTGCTTATTTGAGTTTGTGTTTTATTGTATTGCTTGGTTGAGTTTGTGTTGTATTGTATTGCTTGGCCCAATTTCCAGCTACGGAAGAAGACATCCCAGATGAGCAGTCTGGAGGAACAGTTGGACGAGAAGATGCGGGAGTTCTCTGCCCACATTGCTCGGATGAAGCAGCTGGAGGAGGAGGTGATCAGTCGGGAGGAGGAGGCAGATGAACTCCGACACCAGGTGGCAGCACACCAGGCCGAGATACGGAAGAAACTCAGCAGTGAGGACAAGAAGCAGCAGCTCCATCAGGAACATTGTCGCGACTATGAGAAGCAGATAGATATTGTGAGTTATTTTTTGATATTCCAATTTATTGTATTTAATGCAAGTGATACATTTAAATAAACATACATCTACATATGTACAGACAGTTACAATGTTTTGGCAGAAACAAACTGCACCATTTCAGCCCTACTAAAGTACTAGGAATAGGTTGTTTTTTAACTGTTTAGAAGTGTATTCTAGCCTCATATGATAGTGTGTTTCGTAAATTTGGAAGAAAGGCCTGAACTGATGCAGATCTCAGATGTTTACCACTTTGGTGAAGCCCACGAGGACAGGTATTACAAACCTTGAAACATATTCAGGGAAAACAAGGATTTGAACCAGTAATCATAGGTTTCTGGCATACCAAGGGGATGTAACTCTGTACAGCAAATTGTGGCACCTTTGCACACTAAGCTACACATGCCCCCAACTGTACAATGATTAGCTCAGTTCTGGACAGTTATTGTCCTGGAGGTAGGGTTTCCATACTAGCAGGGTTACACACTATAGATGTTCTGTACATGTCCAGGAGGTAGGGTTTCCATACTAGCAGGTTACACACTATAGATGTTCTGTACATGTCCAGGAGGCAGGGTTTCCATATTAGCAGGGTTACACACTATAGATGTTTTGTACAGGTCCTGGAGGCAGGGTTTCCATACTAGCAAGGTTACACACTATAGATGTTCTGTACATGTCCAGGAGGCTGGGTTTCCATACTAGCAGGGTTACACACTATAGATGTTTTGTACATGTCCAGGAGGTAGGGTTTCCATACTAGCAGGGTTACACACTATAGATGTTTTGTACATGTCCAGGAGGCTGGGTTTCCATACTAGCAGGGTTACACACTATAGATGTTTTGTACATGTCCAGGAGGTAGGGTTTCCATACTAGCAGGGTTACACACTATAGATGTTTTGTACATGTCCAGGAAGTAGGGTATCCATACTAGCAGGGTTACACACTATAGATGTTCTGTACATGTCCTGGAGGTAGGGTTTCCATACTAGCAGGGTTACACACTATAGATGTTCTGTACATGTCCAGGAGGTAGGGTTTCCATACTAGCAGGGTTACACACTATAGATGTTCTGTACATGTCCAGGAGGTAGGGTTTCCATACTAGCAGGGTTACACACTATAGATGTTTTGTACATGTCCAGGAGGTAGGGTTTCTATACTAGCAGGGTTACACACTATAGATGTTCTGTACATGTCCTGGAGGTAGGGTTTCCATACTAGCAGGGTTACACACTATAGATGTTTTGTACATGTCCTGGAGGTAGGGTATCCATACTAGCAGGGTTACACACTATACATGTTTTGTACATGTCCAGGAGGTAGGGAATCCATACTAGTAGGGTTACACACTATAGATGTTCTGTACATGTCCTGGAGGTAGGGTTTCCATATTAGCATGGTTACACACTATAGATGGTCTGTACATGTCCTGGAGGTAAGGTTTCCATATTAGCAGGGTTACATACTATAGATGTTCTGTACATGTCCTGGAGGTAGGGTTTCGAAACTACCTATTCCTAGTACTGTATAGTTGTTCTTTGGGATCACAGCATCAAAATGTTGACTAGTTGATGTCTTTCAGCTTCAAAATGAGTTGGAGAAGACTGGACGTAAGATGTCTGAGTATGAGCATCAGGTGGCTGCGTTGAGGGAGGAAGTGTCCACCAAGTCTGTCCACAGTCAGCACCTGGAGCTCAAGCTGCAGGAAACCAGAGAGGTGAGTCAAGAGCTGAAACAGTGCTGATCAAACTGGCTGTACATCTGCTGGTCAACAGGTTGGTACTATGGCTAGACATCCTGGTTGAACTTCTTCTGGTCCACAAGGAATGGGAGGAAGAGACATCTCAGAGTTGCCTCCCTTATCCATGCCAGGATCTACTTGTCATTTGTAAAAATTCTACAGATTTCCCAGATTATGTATCAGACATGATAATTTTCCGCAGATTTCCGTGATTTTGGTTTAATTTTGAACGTTTTTGAGATCTATGTAAATCTGCAATAAAAAAAAACAAGTCCCACGGGTAAATTTTCAGTGTTTTTTGTGCTTTGCCGTTCTCATGTTTGTATTATTACCTGATCATACACCATGTCTGTGCTCATGGGTTATGCTGTCTGTATGTCAGTCATCTTACAGATTTTGACTTTCCTACACGATTGAGCTGACAGGCCATGACATAAATTGTTTTGAAGCTCAGCGGCTCTTGTATCAAGACTGTTTTCAATGCTTGTTGTACTGACTGCAGGAGCTGAGTTCCCAGACACAACAGAGCCAGGAGGCCCTGCAGATACTGGAGGTGCGTGCCACAGAGGGCAACAGTCAGGTGAAGCAGCTGGAGTCAGCTCTACTGCTGTGTAAGGAGGAGATCAGGAGCTACCTCAACACCCTGGAGGAGGCCAAGGACAAGTTTGACCGGGAGATCGCAAACAGAGATCAGAGGGTGAGAAGTTTTACATTACTTTCACAGATCTAGAATCTGCGACTTTGGATGTTCAGTTAGGTCCATGTTACTTTATGCTTGTTATGAGAACAGAATGAAATTAGGATCTTGCAATTATTAGGATCTTTGTGGAGCGCAATAGTGCAGTGGTAAGGCGTCTGCCTATCACGCTGAAGGCCCGGGTTTGATCCCCGGTGGATGCACCTAGGTCTGGGTCCCGAGGTGGGCACATTCGCGCTGTATCCTTGGACAAGATACTTAGATCCATATTGTCTCAGTTCACCCAGCTGTAAAATTGGTACCCGTGAGGATGTCCTGGCAATGTATTTAGTTCATTGCGCCTAACAGGCAGCATGGCTGTATTCTCCCCAGGGAGTTGAAAAAGTATGGAAAGTACGACAGTGCCCTATGACCGGGGATAGCGCTGTGAGCAGGCAATGTACCTGGATATGAGCCCCATATAAGCAGACTATCACTATTGCTATTATTATTATGTGTTTTACACATCATGCATTGTGCAATCAGCCTGTGGTTTGTCTAGCCCATATCAGTTACAATGAAAGGTGTTTCGTAGCTTGAATGGGGTTGACTGTATATCATGCCTGCATGTGTATTATTGGGTCTGGGTGGGACAAACCAGTGGTTGATAGTATGAACAACATCCGTGCCATCAGGTTACAGTGACATGCATTCAGCTAAGTTATGACAGTCGACTCTATTCAAACTTACACAGTCTTCACAATTGGTCTTGTTGTAAGAGATAACTGATGTAATTGGGATTGGGTGCTGAGGCTAGCAATTGGTCTTGTTGTAAGAGATAACTGATGTAATTGGGATCGGGTGCTGAGGCTAGCAATTGGCCTTGTTGTAAGAGATAACTGATGTAATTGGGATTTGGGTGCTGAGGCTTGCTGACTCCAAGCTTGATCATTTACAAACCTTATTCATATAGAGAATGATGACAATTTTTATGGATATACAACTTCTTTTATTCTGTAAAGGGTGACGTTTTGACATAGATGCTAATGTCGTTGTCTTGCTTGACACTGACATTAGAATCTATGTCGGAACGTCACCCTTCACAGAATAAAAGAAGTTATATATCCATAAATATTGTCATCATTCTTCATCAACTCAACTTCTAAAATACCCATCATAGAAGCTTATTCATATAGGTAGATAACTGTATTTAGTTTGGTTATTTTTGTTGACCAGCTTTCCCGGGCAGAACAGGACTTAAAGGAGACAAGGATGGAGCTGGAAGAGAAGCTGGACTCCAACCGTGAGATGGACAGGATGTTGATGGAGAGACAGGCCATGCTGCAGCAGAGCTCCAACAGGATCACAGAGCTGGAGGAGACTCAGACTGACCTCAACAGACAGGTACTTGGACCTGTGTCTTTATCTGGGTGTATGGGAGGCTGAGGCTGGCCTCAACAGACAGGTAGTTGGACCTGTGTCTTTATCTGGATGTATGGGAGGCTGAGGCTGGCCTCAACAGACAGGTACTTGGACCTGTGTCTTTATCTGGGTGTATGGGAGGCTGAGGCTGGCCTCAACAGACAGGTAGTTGGACCTGTGTCTTTATCTGGGTGTATCGGAGGCCAAAACTGACCTCAACAGACACGTACTGGGACTTGTGTCTTTAGCTGGGTGTATGGGAGTCTGAGGCTGGCTTCAACAGACAAGTACTGGAACTTGTGTCTTTATTAGGGTGAATGGGAGCCCTGGTTCACCTCAGCAGACAGGTACTGGGGCATGTCGGTAGTGTCTTTATCTGGGTGTATGGGAGGCCAAGACTGACCTCAACTTGTGTCTTTATTCGGGTGAATGGGAGCCCTGGTTCACCTCAGCAGACAGGTACATGTCATTAGTGACTTTATCACGGGTGTATAGGAGGCAAAGATACTTGACATATACGTGCTCGGATTTGTGTTTTTGACTATGTGTGAGACAAACAGACAGGTATTGGGACATGTCAGTGGTAGAGTGTATGGGAGGACCAGACTGACCTCAACAGGCTACGTGGAATTGAAAGGACAGACAGACAGGTATTGGGACATGATTTAGGGCTGGGAGGACAGACTGACCTCAACACGAGACTTAGCCCATTGGCTAAACTACAGGATTTTTTTCCATATTTAAGCACATGGGCTTAAATTTGGATTTAATTCTTGGGTGTTTAGAGTGATGCCCCTTTCCAAACGCATGGCAAACCTCGACGTTTTTAGCTTTAGTAGTGCCTCTGCAAGGTTAACATGTCACAGAACATTTTGGACACCGGTTACAGGGCAGTTGTTAGAGACAGAAATTTATCATCTTAACCCTTATGATGTGCATGGAAGTGCAGTTAAATTGAACCATGTGGTCATTCACATTTTTTAATTTAAGCCCTGGGCTTAAATATGGTTCAAATATGTCATCACTAGAACAGTGATTTTCAGTATTTGAGCCCAGGGCTTAAATACAGGAATTCCCGGTAGGACTGAGACTTGTGTCTTCTGCTGGGTGGATGGGAGGCACATGCCGATCTCAAGAGACAGGTACTGGGAATTGTGTCTTCTGCTTGGTGGATGGGAGGTACATGCTGATCTCAAGAGACAGGTGCTGGGACTTGTGTCTTCTGCTGGGTGGATGGGAGGTACATGCTGATCTCAAGAGACAGGTGCTGGGACTTGTGTCTTCTGCTGGGTGGATGGGAGGCACATGCCGATCTCAAGAGACAGGTACTGGGAATTGTGTCTTCTGCTGGGTGGATGGGAGGTACATGCTGATCTCAGGAGACAGGTGCTGGGACTTGTGTCTTTAGCTGGGTGGATGGGAGGCACATGCCGATCTCAGGAGACAGGTACTGGGACTTGTGTCTTCTGCTGGGTGGATGGGAGGCACATGCCGATCTCAGGAGACAGGTACTGGGAATTGTGTCTTCTGCTGGGTGGATGGGAGGCACATGCTGATCTCAGGAGACAGGTACTGGGACTTGTGTCTTCTGCTGGGTGGATGGGAGGCACATGCCGATCTCAGGAGACAGGTACTGGGACTTGTGTCTTTAGCTGTGTGTGTTGTGTTGGCAGGATGCATGGGAGGCCTTAGGTGACCTCAAAAGGCAGGCACTGAGACTTGTCATTTGAGGCTGTGTGAGAGAACTGAACAGACGGATGCTGTGACTTGGGTGATTGTTGGAGTTTATTGGATCCCCAGGATCACTACAACTGTACTAGTAGTCACATGTGTTGTTTCTATGTGTAGATATCCAGCCTGGAGCAGCGTCTGCTGAGAGAGAAGGCCCAGTCCATGACAGAACTGGAGGTGGCTGAGAGGAAGCTCCACCAGGCATGCAGCGACATGGAGACCAAGACAGCAGAAGTCACACAACAGACACAGACTCTCAGGTCAGTATGGTTCAATCGAAATGTATTCTGTGTAAAATAATCCCTCCTTAAAGCCTTCCTCACCCCCATCCTTACCCCACCCTACAAAAAACAAAACAAGACAGCCCCAAAGCAAAACAAGTTGGCTTGGATCTTGTTTATCCAGAAACTTTCCATATATTCTGTTTGTGTATATTAACTCTGCATTCAAGGAGCAGGAATTAGCTCTGAAACGTCATGGTATTGAATATAATGTAATCACCAATTATAAGGATATTTCCCCAGGTTTTTTCTAATTAATGTTTTTTATAACTAATACTGTCATGCAATGAAATGCACACATGCAAGAAAGACACTGGAATTGTAATTAAACAATAAAAGTGGTTAAAATTTTACAATGCGCGTAGCGTTACGTTCTTGAGCGCATGTTTGTTCGTGAATATTCGTCAAATTTAATGGTTAGCTTAATTCATTCAGGTGTGTTATACTAAAACAACCAAATTCCAATTAATTGAAAATATGTTTTTTACAATCGATCATCATTTTTAGTCCTTCTTTCGATCGATTTTCGATTATTTTCGATCATCGGAACACCACTACTGTTTATATGTATATAGTGACAGCATCAAATAACTAAACAACTTCAGTGTTAACACTACTATCTGGATTAAGAGAACGTAACAATATGCCAATGATGTCATATTAATCTTTTGCTTATGTGAATCCTCCATATTTTCGCGTCACTGTAGGGAGTTGAAAGAAGAGAATCGCCATCTAACAAGTGATCTGTCTTCGCTGGAACACCAGCTTCAAGAGACTCAGACAGAGACGGAACAGACAGTAACACGTTGTGCTAAGATGGAGAAGGACAACCGCGATCTGCGGGTGCAGCTGGAGCAGAAGATGGAAATAGGTTTGTGGCCATTTCGTAATACCTCCTGCTCTTCAGAGATACCTCTTATGCATTTTCCTACGAGCTAACTTTGTGTGCAGACTCTTTCAGTGTTGTCACAAAGTTTACAGTACACAACCCTGTGCACTTAAAAGAACCCACGAATCCGTTCGAAAATGACCAGATGGTGGCCACATGAATACATGCAAACACCTAGTTGTGGGTACAGCAACGTGCAGTAAACTTGGACAAAGTACTGTGACTATGTGTCCCAATCCACCCAGCTGTGAATGGGCACCTCGTAAAGATGGGAATCCGCAATAACTCGGTGCGCCTTGTGGCTGCAAGAGTTGTATGATCCCCAGGGAGTTGAGATTGATGATACAATATGCCTTTGAGACTGACATCCATTGATCGAGGGAAAAAACCCAGCGCCATGAGCATGCACTAGTGCGTGGATATGTTCACTATATAAACCAATAATAATAATAATAATAATAACTCATAAGCATTCTACTGCACACTACCCTATGCATCTCATAAACGACAAATACAACAGATAACCAGTCAGGCTTAGTGATTGGGCATGTTGGACAAGGCTAACATTTAGTCACAGAATAAAGTTGTGTTATTAAAAATATATAAAATAATCTGATCCAAATGGATCCTAAAACATTGCTCAAATCTGTTCTGCCTAGAGGTGAAGCTGTTCCGGCTGGACAAATCATGATTTGGTTTGGATTCACTGTTTGATTTAATCTGTGGAAGACAGACTAATGCTGGACATCACCCATTTCAACAATCATTCATTGATTATTTACAGTCAGCCTCATGACAGTTTGACTACTACAGACTTGGGCGTTTAAAAACAAACTTGGATCCCTCAATGTATCTATACTAAGGCTGGGTATTGGCTAATAAATTATATTATGATATATTGCGATTCAGGTGACCATATTGCGATACGTCTTGCGATATATTGGGAACTTATGTGTTTGACAGTGGGTGACACTAATTGTGCATGTCGATCCTATTTTCTACAGTATAAGTCCCTAAACATACATGTTATGGTTCTGATAACATCAATCTCAGCATTAGGTTGTCAAGTCATGGATTCTAGTTTCCTTTTTATACAATTTATAGTATTACAGTATGCAGATTTTTAAACTTATCCTATCTCACGACTTGCACCTCTCTCTCTTCATTCGACCATGAGTGGAAACGAATTAAACTTTGCTCCAGGCCTTCCTTGTCCCTGTCCCCGTGCTGTGCGTGCCTTCTGTGTCAGTCGTGCTCACTAGTCCATGACAGCACGTGGCATGCGAAGTCCTCACCCACGTGATCCCTTCCATACTTCCATCTTTTTTCTTTGTCGCCGACAGAGTGGACGACGGAATTTTTTTTCGCCTCGATAATTGCTCAACATGGTTAAGCTTGTTCAGGCCAGAAACGAAGTTTTGGCGCTTCAGCGTAATAAAGTTTTTCCAGCGGGACCCACACACATCGTAGTTGATTATGTGGGTTGTTGTGATTAGGACAAACGTTGTCCTAAGTGTTCAGGACTGTCTAATGAGGATTTCAAAGCATACAAACTTGCTTTGTGCCAGACGCTTAAGTAGATAGGGCCAGGAATGCTTATGCGGGATCTGGTCCATCTCCGCTAAAAACAATGTTTACATCGCCCCAGCCTACCTGCTCGCCGTTCTAAATCTCCGCTCTCCTAACGTAAGATTTTATGGATGCTTCGCTCTGATTCCTATTTGTCTGAGAATGTTAAAAGGCGTTTGGGACGCTTTCCTCACCTAGCTCCAGTTCTGATGGGCATGCAAGGGTGGTAATGACTGATATTTTCTTCTACACAAGACCTGCGATCTACTTCATCTCGTAGATCCGCTTTCTTCAGACCGCTCAAAGTCCTAAAACTTCTAAATCCAAGCATTCATCATCGGAAGCGTGGATCAAGCGTGGTTGGAACATAACCGTTTCTCCCTCTTCGCAGACGGTTTCATCCCACCGAAACAATTCACCCAAATGAGTTGAGTCACCATCTGGTTCGAGGTTCGAATTCGTTCTTCTACTGCTGGTAAGTGTCGTTCTAGATCTCGTTTCACGCCGAAAGCCTCGCCCTTCCAATGTACCAGTCCGAACCGATTCACCACCTCGATTCATTTCACCAATCAGAATTGGGTCTAATGCCAGTGTTGGTTCACTAGGAACGAAACCATTCACCTAGCCGTCATTGCCAAAGGTCGAATCCAGTTCACTCAGCCGAGCCGCCTCACCAGACCGTGAATCGAATGGGTTCACCTGGACCGAACTGATTCAGGTAATCGTCGAATGGGTTCACCTGACCGAACTGATTCACGAATCGTCGAATGGGTTCACCTGACCGAACTGATTCACGTAATCGAATGGGTTCACCTGACCGAACTGATTCACGTAATCGAATGGGTTCACCAGGACGAACCGGTTCACATTCCCAAATCAGTTCACCTCAACATAGGTTTCAGTTTGACTCACCATCTCATAGTCGAATCAATTCACCACAGCGTTTTGATTCACGTAGTCGTTCAGTCTCACCTGGTCGAAGTGGTTGGCCATTTCGATCAGGTTCACCTAGCCGTACGGTGTGTTTTCGTCAGAATGATTCTCGTAGTCGGCCTCATTCACCTCAGGTGAATCAGGATATCCCGTCTTGTCAGTCTAGAGCTTATTGAGGACTCCATCAGAACTGACGTAGTTGCTCGACTTATTGAACGTTCTTATATCAGGAGATATCTTTTTGTCAGAGGCAAGAGTGGTTAGACCTCTCATTTCCCTCGACCTGCAAGGGCCGTGGGGTAGCCTAGTGGTTAAAGCGTTGACTCGTCGCGCCGAAGACCCCGGTTCGATCCCCACATGGGTACAATGTGTTAAGCCCATTTCTGGTGTCCCCCGCCGTGATGTTGCTGGATTATTGCTAAAAGCGGTGTAAAACTAAACTCAGTCAGTCAGTCCCTCGACCTGTGAGACACCTACCTTCACATCCAGACACATCCAGACTATCGGAAGTATCTTCGATTTACTTTAAAGGGGCGTCATTGATACCAATGGAGGGTCCTGCTGTATGGGCATATGTGCGGCCCCCGTGGCTTTTTACTCAGATACCCATTCCGATAACAAGCTACCTGCATTGTCGAGGCGTGACATTTGAGAACTATATCGACGACTGTGTTCAAGCCCAGCAGGATCCAGTCGCCCTTCCTCTCCACAGGCAGTTCATCATCAGAGTTGCTCACTTTTAATTAGGGATGATGGCTGCTAAATTCGAGAAATCAGAGGTAACACCGACCGATGATTTCTTTTATTGGGACAATATTCAACATGACAGGTCATGATGTTTGTGCCCCAGGAGAGGTGGGACAATATTCAGTGCAACGCACCACTAGTGCTGGTCCAACCCACACCTTTTCGCCAGTGGCAGAAGTTACTAGGGTGGTTGACGCCGGGCACAAGCGCTGACTTACAGGGGCCAGCTGCAGCTTGGCCTCTTCAGATGTTTCTGTGCCCATACATCGGGGACCGACAACCCCAGGGAGTTGATTCGCCTTCCCGCACAACTACATTCAGTCTTTCATTGGTGGCTCAACAAGTGGAATGTTTGTGTTGGAGTCTCTATGGTGCCCTTCATACCGACTCAACACCTGTTCGTTGACACATCTTTCAAGCTGGGGCTCCTTTCCATCAAGTGGCCTAGCAGTGGTCATCAGGAGAAAGGGCCCTTCATCACAACGAATTGGAATTCAGCACTGTCATTATCGCCGTTCGGCATTGGGCAGTTGAACTACGGTTCACTCATATGCTAATTCAATCAGACATTTCAATGGTAATTTTGTACATAAACCATCAGGGGTCGACAGGATCAGCAGCTCTGCTTCAGTTGATGTTTTGAATTTATCATCTGATCGATTCACTCCACACAGTGGCCAGAGCCCGACACATTCCCAGGATGAGGAATGTCATTGCCGATGTCCTGTCACTCATGAAGTGGAAACAAGTACCTCTGATCTTCCAATCAAAGATCTACCTGTTATCACGACCAGATGTAGACCTGTTCAGCACTCGGGACAACCATCAGCTTCAGCGCAGATGATCACCAGTTGCGATCGTTTCTGCTTTGTGTACAATCTGAATAAAATTCTGAATTTTATTTCTGATTTGTGTCTTCGATTCTTCTGGGACTTGTGAGTTTTCCGATTCACTACCCTTTCACCTCCATGGGACGGTGTCTGTGGGGGTTGTTTCAAAGCAGGGGCCGCCCCGATACTGGTCGTCCGACCTTGGAAATCGTGGTAATGCGACTGATTACACTCGCTAAGCTGCATCCTTTCACTTTCGTGAAGGTGGTGACTGAACTCCAAATTGCTCGGGAATCCCGGTCCCTGGAGCACTTGTGCTTAGTAAGTCAATGGGTTCGAATCCAACCATCGATGTCTCGCTTTTGAGACGCTGGAGGGTCGCCACCTCACTTACTGTCCTCTGCTCCAACGGAGTAATTACGCCAGTGAAGTGAGTCATTCCCGGCGTTACACTTCAGAAGCGCTCATGCCCTAAGTACCTATACACATCTATGTGATCTTACCGTGGTAAGTAGTGGAAGTCATAAGATGATGTTGTGGTACTGAATGTTAAAATTGTGAGTTTTTCCGATTCACTACCCTTTCACCCTCCTCGACGGTGTCTGTGGGGTTGTTTCAAAGCAGGGGCTGGCCCAATACTAGTCGCTAGACTTTATTACGGGGGTACCTTTGAAATCGTGGGCGATGCGACTGATTACACTCGCTAAGCAAGGCCCTTTCACTTTGTGAAGGTAGTGACTGAACACCACATTGCTCGGGAATCCCGGGTCCCTGGGAGCACTTGTGCTTAGTAAGTCAATGGGTTCGCGACTAACCCTCACACGTAGTAACTTTGGTAGTTATTGGCCTGCCTTGTAGTTGCTTCCTACGGTTGTTTTGGCATAACGCTTAGCTGTTATCGCTTGAATTTCGGGTAATCTATGACCCACCTTCCTACCGTGGGATAAGTGCAAGTCGTGAGGTAGGATAAGTTTAAAAATTTGGAAATTTTAACTATAAATTGTATATTTATATACTTATCCTCTCTCACGAGATAAAGTCCCCACTACTTAGATTACCACCGTTCCGGTTTTGTCCTTTTATGGCTCCAAGATCGAGAATGAGTATGGAAGGTGATCACGTGGGTGAGGACTGCGCATGCCACGTGCTGTCATGGCCTAGTGAGCATGGCTAAGGCAGGAAGGCATGCACAGCACGGGGACAGGGACAAGGAAGGCCTGGAGCAAAGTTCAATTCGTTTCCACTCATGGTCGAATGAAGAGAGAGAGGTGCAAGTCGTGAGATAGGATAAGTATATAAATATACAATTTATAGTTAAAATTTCCAATTTTGTCATTGAATAAGAAAGGAAAACATCTGTTGTGAATGAAAGTATGTGTAGATTTTGATTTAAACCATAAAGATAATTACCAAAACTTCATATATGATCTTTACACAAAATACTGGTTCTCACAAAAAATATTACAATACGTATCGTTTGAAAAGCATATTGCCTTATACCTGTATACCGGTAATACCATGTAGCCGTAATCTATACAGTCGCTTGGGCATCTCTCATGTGATGTTTCTCTGGTTGACATATTTTTTAAGGTAATTAAAGAATGTGTAGATAGATTCAGGTGAATACTATTGGTTTAATGAGGTTGCATACTAAATATCAAAATGTCAAGAAATTGTTAAATTTGGTTTCATTTTGTAGAAAAATGTGTCCCGAATCTAGTTAAGTAATAAAAATAGCAAGTCACCACGGCATTTGTTTGACCAGTGGCTCCCCCTTGTGGCACCATCTGTAAAAAGTAATAGTCAATAAAAGTTCTCTTAAAAGTAAATTGTTTACTTTTATTATTCAATATGTGTTTTTTTATAAAGATATTTCAGTATTGATAGGAAATAAAGCTGGAAAATCAATTTTCATGGCAGTATGTAGGATTTGACACATTAATTAACTTCTAAAAAACAGAAATTTAAAGAAAATATTGATTCATCACTGAAAAAAAAGATTTTTATAATATCAAGATTTTTTTATAAAATGAATTTTTAAATAGTAAATTCACACTAGATTAATATTCAAAAATGAAAAAAAAGGTTACTAGAGGGTATCAACATTATCTCCAATTATAACAGCATACCCAAATTATATTGATAAAGGGAGATAACTCTTGCACAGGTTTACCTCAGGATAAATGCTTGTGTGGCCAAAATATCATGAAGTATGATTAGAAGCAAGATAAAGGGAAATAACTGCGTAACATAAATACGCACTCCTACTGTCACATCCCGTCGGTATATGCACAAACCACGGTATCCAACCTCTTTAACCTGTGTATGATAATGTCTACAAATTGTTTATAATGATGTTCCACGTTTGTTTATTGTTGTGTGTGTTGATGTTTTCCTGCACTGGTCTCTGTATGTAAAGTGTTGGTGGTGTACATTCAGTGGCAGACATGGAAGACCAGATGACCAGCAGGTCCGAGGATGCCCAGCAACAGATGCGGCTTGTCACGGAACTGGAGGAGGAGATTAATAACCTGAAGGTAAACTGCATCGTCATAGCAGATGGAAGCTGGGGCATGGTGGGCGAGCTGTCTAAGGCGCCAGGCTAGTGATCCAGAGAGCTTGAGATGCCGGGATCGAGTCCACCTGTGACTGGGTGTAAAAACATTGGAGTCAACTATGTGTGCAGACTCTTTCAGTGTTGTCGCAACCCCTAGTGTACAGTACACAACCCTGTGCTCTTAAACGAACCCATGAATCCGTTGGTATATGACCAGATGGTGGCCACATGAATACATGCAAACACCTAGTTGTGGGTACAGCAACGTGCAGTAAACTTTGACAAAGTACTATGGCTATATGTCCCAGTCCACCCACCTGTGAATGGGTACCTCGTAAGTATGAGAAAGCCGCAATAACTTGGTGTGCCTAGTGGTTGCAAGAGTTGTATGCTCCCAGGGGAGTTGAGATTGATAGTATGATGTGCCGTTGAGATTGACATCCAATGATCAAAGGATAAAAACAGTGCCTTGCCTTGGATATGTGCGCTGTATAAATATCCTTTGATAATAGTCCTCATAACTCTGTACTTGTTACAAGAGCTGAAGGAAATGAGGAGCTGGTGGTTACAATGTCAGCTGATTGGTTGTCATATCCCCCAATCCAGTGGTACCCAGTATGCCATGGTGGTGTTGGTCACCTGTTTGTGCAGACATCGGGCTTTATGATTTGCTTGCATGCCATTGTACATTGTATTCTGACATTGTTTGTTAAGGATTACCTGATTGTGTTGTTTGTGGTCGGATCTCTGAAGGAATACTAGAATCGGATCTCTGTAGATTGTGTTGTTTGTGGTCAGATCTCTGAAGGAATACTAGATTGTGTTGTTTGTGGTCGGATCTCTGAAGGAATACTAGATTGTGTTGTTTGTGGTTGGATCTCTGAAGGAATACTGGATTGTGTTGTTTGTGGTCGGATCTCTGAAGGAATACTACATTGTGTTGTTTGTGGTCGGATCTCTGAAGGAATACTAGATTGTGTTGTTTGTACTTAGATCGGATCTCTGAATTAATACTAGATTGTGTTGTTTGTGGTCGGATCTCTGAAGGAATACTAGATTGTGTTGTTTGTGGTCGGATCTCTGAAGGAATACTAGATTGTGTTGTTTGTGGTCGGATCTCTGAAGGAATACTAGATTGTGTTGTTTGTGGTCGGATCTCTGAAGGAATACTAGATTGTGTTGTTTGTGGTCGGATCTCTGAAGGAATACTAGATAGTGTTGTTTGTGGTCGGATCTCTCAAGGAATACTAGATAGTGTTGTTTGTGGTCAGATCTCTGAAGGAATACTAGATTGTGTTGTTTGTGGTCGGATCTCTCAAGGAATACTAGATTATGTTGTTTGTGGTCGGATCTCTGAAGGAATACTAGATTGTGTTGTTTGTGGTTGGATCTCTCAAGGAATACTTCGTGCTCTAGAATAAAAGAAGTTGTCATCCATTTAGTTACTTGTTCTATACAAATTGTGTTGTTTGTGCAGGGATCTCTGAGAGATTACAAATTGAGTTGTTTGTGCAGGGATCTCTGAAGGAGAGCAAAGCAGAGGTGGTCAAAGTAGATGACCAGCTCCAGAGGTCAAAGTTCGAGGTCAAGGCTAAGGATGACATGTTGGAGGACCTCAGGGATGCTTTGAAGTAAGTGTCGTTCACAATTATTCCTCCATAAATATGAACGCATATGTAAGTCAGTTCTTTTGAATGAATAAATTAGCTATGAAACTTCATAGGATGAATACATTTAGATCACATCTAAAACTGCTTATTTCATTATTAAAACTGTAGACAAAAGTGCAAACTCAGTGACTTCATCTACCCCAGTAACGCAACTTAAGTCTTGCTTAACATGCCTGTTACTACGAATATGGAGTGACATGAATTGTTGAGTTAGTCTATCAAATGCTGTGAAATCACTTGCGATTTATTTCTTCACTGTTGAGGCTTCTTCAGCGTAAAATTCACACAGTCGAATGTAGATTGGAAGAAGTATATTATAAGTTGTTCACTAGTCACGAGGGGGACATGGGTTGATGTACCCTCGATGTTTGTTTATGTTAACATCGGTAATTTCCGTACATCATATATGTGATTCAATGTAATTCGATAAAGAATTACTACCACAAAGTACCAAATGAGTTGCCATTGACAGCGGGGTACATTGAAATGTTACTCGCTTGTAAGCAGGCTACATTGAAAATAGTAAAAGAGCGCTCAGCCAATCAGAAAGCGACATTTATGTGTGAGGTAAGATAAAAGTTAATGTCAGTCTAATGAATTGTCCCTGATGTGTGTTCAGGAAGACCCAAGAGGAGTTGGGGATGATGAGTGAGGAGAATGAGGAGATGAAGGAGTCCCTAGACACCAGACAGGTGGAGCTCAACGAGAGGGTGGCACAGGTAGGTGTCGGGCAACGTTTAATGTAGGGGGTGCACAGGTAGGTGTCGGGCAATGTTTAATGTAAGGGGTGCACTAGTAGGTGTTGAGTAGTGTTTAATGTAAGTGGTGCCCAGGTAGGTTTACAGCATTGTTTAAAGTTTGTGTCGAGCAACAGTTATGTAGAGGGTGCACGGGTTATTGTCCAGTATAATTTATTGAACAGGGTGCACAAGGTAGGTGATAACTGAAGAGGTGATTTTTAACTGTTATGTTTTCCTGTAGGTGACGAGATTGGACCAAACAATCAAGGAGACACACACAGAGATGGAGCAACGGATGCTGAAGCTGGACGAAACACTCCAGAAATATCAGACTGAGATACAAGAGAGGACGCGGCAGGTCAGTAGCAGACTCGTTAGGAGCAGAGACGTCTTGTGCCGTGAAATTCTTGATGAAAAAAACATGGAAAAATACAGTTGGGTCCTTTGGGTGACAACACAAGGGAGTATGGTCTAACATTTCTCACCTACTGGCTGGCCCTATCCTTCTTCAACAACGTAACTGCTAGGCCATGACACATAACCTGACTTGGAGTGAAAAATACTCCTACCAGACTCCATAGAAGGTTTATGAAATGTTTCTTTGACAGATGCATAGCGTAAAATGAAAACACGTAATGAGGAAGTAGTATTGTGATGGATGTGATGTATCCGTTGTTTCAGATTGCCAACCTGGACGACACCCTGCAGCTGAGTCAGTCTCAGCTGCGAGAGAAGACGCTGCAGTTCCAGCAGTCGGAGCAGCTGCTGCAGCGACACACCATGGAGCTGCAGGCCGCTACAGTGAAACTGCAGGAACTACAAAAGGTACCTCTCCTATACCTCCTCTACAGTTTAGTGTGGCAGGTTGTCCCTGTGTTAGGTGACAATGGTTAAGTAGCTGATTGTGTTCTGTTCATAATTTATGGCGGGGGGTGTTTGATGATTTTTATGGAGAAGCATGTACAATGGGACTGACCCCCACACCCCTGAAATGTATGTACAAAGTAAGTGACAAACCCTCTCTCCCCCCTGCATGTCATGTACAAAATCAATGACCCCCCTTCCCCTTCCCATATTTTGTAAGCATAAATTTTTTCTTATCCTGACTCATGTTTATTTGCTTGTCTTCTTCTTCTTGCGAACCTAGTGGAACACTTGTATCTCCCAATTGAAGTTCCCTTCAATAAAAAATCACTCATTAGTACTGACCACGAGTTACCTCCCTTCCACAAGCGCGGGAACGAGGGCGCCACCTGAACCCATGTGCCTCACTCTCTCCTTCTTCGCCCAGTGAGCAAGACGTGAGAGCACCTGTGTCTCCCTGCACACTATATCCTTTTTATCCCCCGCAACGCGTTTTGCGGGGGGTATTAAAATGGACTCCGTCCGTCCGTCCGTCCGTCCGTCCGTGCATATTTGTCTTTTCCGGAGCAGAACTCTAAAAGCATTCAATATTTCTTCACCAAACTTGGCACATACATTGATCTGGTGGTGTACTGGTGCCTTTTGGCAGTTTTGGAATTCTGAATAAAATATTTTTGGCGTTTCCATGGCAACAAGTTCGACTTAGACTGAAATTGGTGGTAGTGCTCTTTTCCGGAGCAGAACTCTAAAACCGTTCACTATTTCTTCACCAAACTTGGCACATAGATTGGTCTGGTGGAGTACTGGTGCCTTTTGGTAGTTTTGGAATTCTGATTAAAATATTTTTGGCGTTCCATGGCAACAACTTTGACTTAGACTGAAATTGGTGGTTGTGCTCTTTTCCGGAGCAGAACTCTAGAACCGTTCATTATTTCTTCACCAAACTTGGCACATAGATTGGTCTGGTGGTGTACTGGTGCCTTTTGGTAGTTTTGGAATTCTGTTTAAAATATTTTTGGCATTTCCATGGCAACAAATTTGACTTAGACTGAAATTGGTGGTTGTGCTCTTTTCCGGAGCAGAACTCTAAAACCGTTCACTATTTCTTCACCAAACTTGGCACATAGATTGGTATGGCGGTGTACTGGTGCCTTTTGGTAGTTTTGGAATTCTGAATAAAATATTTTTGGCGTTTCCATGGCAACAACTTTGACTTAGACTAAAATTGGTGGTTGTGCTCTTTTCCGGAGCAGAACTCTGAAACCGTTCACTATTTCTTCACCAAATTTGGCACATAGATTGGTATGGCGGTGTACTGGTGCCTTTTGGTAGTTTTGGAATTCTGAATAAAATATTTTTGGCGTTTCCATGGCAACAAGTTTGACTTAGACTGAAATTGGTGATAATGCTCCTTTCAACTTTCAAGGCTCTCCTTCCACTTTTCTATATACACACCTAAATATTTGACATAATCATAACTCGTAGACATAATCATGAAGAGTATTTTGCCATTGAGGGGGATATTGATGACTTTGTCTTCTTGTTTATATTTAGTTTGTTACCTCTTATATTCATCTATAGAGGTGTAACTAGTATCATTATTCAACATGCATTGATAATTATTCGTGTTTCTGCTGCTTGATTCACGGTTCGCCGTGTTTGCTCAGCAGTTTGCGTTAATAAAAATCTGCACTGTTTGTAAATTACGTTACTCTGCTACCGATCCACATTTAAAATGCCCTAGTTGCATTACTCCATGTTCTATTGTTTCTCGTTGTAAATTATGTATTAATTTACCAATTTCTGCCTTTGATAAATATTTATGTTCCGCTTTGAGACGGAAGGCAGATAAATCTCGAAACAATCTTCAGTCATGGCTAATAGATCGGAGTCAGATATATCCTGAGTTACCTTCGGGGATAAGCGTGGGACGAGTCCGCTAAATCTAGAAGCGACCTGCTTCCCAGGACGTTCCTTCATCACAGTCTAAAACTAGAAGAACTTCCACGCCGTCTCAACGTGATGCTCCGAGCCCCAGGTCTACAGCCTCGTCAAAGGGAAATCCACGGCTACTAAAAACTTTGCTTCTGATATTCAGAATTATGTTTATATGATGATGACATTTCGCTTATCATTCCAGATGTATGTTATAAGAAGTGACCAGTACGGCTACCGCCACTTCAGCGCAGATCAACATGCAATCAGAGATGCCTACGCTGACGCGGGAGATTATAACTGAGGGTCCCGCCACTATCACAGAGAGGACACCCTCAACGCCAGCGCAGACCATCCCAGACGACCTGGTCAACCAAATCATGAGGCTGATGGAAGACCGCTACGGCTTACAGAGGCCTCAGAGCCACGGGCCCCAGAGCCCACCCCATACTAAGTCATACAGGGCCCCAGAGCCCGCCTTTGACTTCAGCTGTAGGGCCCCTGAGCCCATAGACGCCTCCGCTAAGGGCAACCCTGCCCGAGTAAGCTCTTTGCATAAGGTATCCCAGGTCGCTCCGAGGAGGAGCTAGAGCCTGACCTTTGCAAGAGGCTTCGCGGAGAAGGAGCGCCGCCCAGCACGCACCTTTGTCATGTAATGGAAGGGCGCTTTGCAAAGCAAGCACTCATATGTCGGATAGGACACTGACTCCAGACATTCGCAAGAAGGCGAAGGCTAAGTGGTTCTACAACGCCTAGGAGGCGCTTCGCGTAGCCCTCGACGCTCGAGAAGTCCAGAGCGCTCTGCGGCCATCACCGCTCTCGAAGCCCACAGTTTCCGCTGAAGGATGTCTTCTTCAAGGTCTACATACACCAGCCAATCGTCAGTCCATTCTCCTCAGTCCTCACATAGATCTTCTTACAGATCGAGGTTCGACATACCACCATACGCCAGAGGAAGACGATGGTATCATTTAAGATCAAAGGAGCGCAGCCGAGCCCACACCCTGTAGAACACAGAGGTCGCTTTTATAAGCAAGCGCCATATATTGATCGGACTCTGACTCGACATCACTTTCGCGAAGGTCGCGAAGGCTAAGTGGCTCCAAGTCTATTTCACCCAGAAGATCTAGAAGCGCTACTTCGAGATTCGCGAATCTTCGGCGTCGCCGAGGAAGTCTCCTCCAAGGTCTCCATATACTAGCCACTGGCCATATATAGCCACTGCCAGTCCGCTCAAGACATCGCATGAGTTGTCTATCAACTGTAAGCCATATGCCGCCTACAAGCCTACGCAGACAATTGCACAGGCTATTTACAACACACAACGCCGCTGTATTAATTTATCAACGGATGAAGAGCCTAATTAGGATCTTCAAGCCGACTACCTACTACGATACGATTATCTACATGCGACTGCAGATCTGCAGACAATTCAAAACGAAATTGAACAGCAGTCTTGTTACAGCTTAGTAAAACTCATAATCGCCAACGATTTCCTCAGAAGTAATATGTACAACAAGTTCAGCTTTAACAGTCTACAAGCTGACAACTTGCAAGGTTATTGAACCTTATATAAGGAAGTCGGAATTATCTTCAAGACTGAAGTTACTTTCACGACAGCCTGGAAAATAACTTACCCAGCATTAATATTACAGAGCGAGGTATTTCGCTACCGGAGGTTCACAAGCGCTACCATCAACCCTCAAACACGTATCACTCGGGTAACTTCGGAAGTTACGGTGAAGACCGACGATTGTTCTAATATCAACGGCGCACTATATTATACAAGGTTCTTTCCTGATACACCGGTGACGCCACAGCCATACCGGTACTCTACAGAATCAAAATGCCTTGTTCTGATTGGACCGAGATGGACAACGCCCTACGCAGAGGTCGATCATAGTTCACAGTTCAACACTTAGGTTGCAAGTGACAACAATATATCAGTGAACGAGCAAGCCTCCTTACAGTTCAGCTAATCTAAACCTTCATGATTGGGCTGCCTTCTTGAGGTTAGAGACCTCCCCTGTCAAGTAAGGACGAGGACACAGCAGTCAGACGATTTTTTTACATAAAGTTCAACGATGGCAGTCACCCCTGGCGAATTCACAGCGAATTTACCTCGACGACGGGATACAAATGGATCCAAATCCATAGTGTCTCAGACTACAGTTGAATTCATCATCAAGCTACTAACACAACTAGATGGTTAGTAAACCTACTTAAGTTGGACCTAGAACCTTCGCAAGATCTGCTATTTCTAGGTTTTTGATTTGTAATGGCGCAGAATCGTATAATTGTACCGGAGGACCATGGATCAAGATCCAACAGTCATTTCCACAAGCCTTACTATCTCCGCTACCACTACGACAGTGACAGTGACAGAGTCTGTTGGGGTTACGCACTTCAGCTCAGCTCAAGACATGACAGACAGAGGCAGACTACAATTACATCCGCTACAAGTCATCAGCAATTCGTGATCTAGACTTAATCTCTACCGCTCAATCTATCGGTTCAGGTCAAACCTCATCTACTATGATGCACCAAGAGATCGAATGTTTGAATAGGCGTCTCGCTAATAGAGCTGGAATCGATAACACTTCTCTACGTAGATGTGTCACTATAAGGTTGGGGAGCCCATCTTGCCAACAGGACGGCATCAGGGCTATGAGCAATCAAGAGAGCAATTACACATAAATCTGCTAGAGATGCAAGCAGTAATAAACGCCTTAATACACTGGAGCAACTTACTACAGTATACCCAGTGGATGATTCACACAGTCAATTCGACAGTGGCGTTTTATGTGAACAAACTAAGCTCAACCAGGTTTAATCAACAATCTCAACATACATGTCAGAGCATATCACATTCCAGGAGCAAAGAATGTGATAGCAGACGCTCTCTCTTGGTCACACATACCATCGCCGACAGAATGAATGCTCCATACAGAGATATTCACTCAAATTATCAAGGAAATAGGAACTACACTAATAGACCTATTTACCATTCGATTCAACAAACAACTGACAACATTCGTATCGCCAGTTCCAGACCCACTAGCATTGGCAACAGACGCCATAAGCATATCGTGGAAGGTCTCAACGCTGCACGCTTTTCCGCCACCAGCGTTAATCTCACAAGTTTACTCTAAATCAGTCTAAAGCAGAGCCTCCATCTGATTTTGGTCACGCCTACTGACCAGCTGAGGAAGTGGTTTCCAACTCTTATTCAAGAAATCGACAACCAATACTACATCTTACAGAGTGCTCGAATCTGTTAATACATCCGCGACACCAAACAAGCACACGAAAGCCAGATATATTCCAACTTCACGCATGGATTGTATCATATGCTGTCTGAATAACAAGTTATTCAGCCAGAGCGCAAAGCAGTCTAACTTGCCCCGCGTGAACTCAACTGGCAACTTATACGATGACAAATGGCACAGTTTTGTCAATTATGCTGCAAAGGAAGGATTTACAGCTAGATATGCTACTCATCCTCAAGTGGCGGACTACTTATGTTATCTACGCCAGACTAAGATTTTATAAGGCTCAGCTTGTCCACCTATCTTGCAGCAATAGCTCTATCATAACTGAGAACGGGCGCCAAGTTAACCTAACCCAGTTACTCGCCTTGCTACGAAGCCTCCGATTGGAGGATTAAACGGAAGTTCACGCCCAACTTGGGATCTGAATATAGTGTTCCAACACCTCACAAGTGAGGTTTATGAACACGCTTTGATGATATACTTGAACCCCATGATACGATGAATCTATCACGATGGCCAGTAAGAGCACTGAAAATATATCTCCACCGAGCCAAACAGGAGGGAAAAATGCAAGAGATTTATTTCCTCTATCAAGCTATGCAGACGAAAGTCTCACGCACTACTATATCTCCTTTTGGATCAGAACTGTCATACTAATGCGGTCACAAGACTGTAGGACTCTACCCTCCATGAGCTTCTAATCCTCATAATATTAGAGCGCTAACATCTACAATTGCTCTACACAAATGCTTTTGGAATAATGGAGGGTTATTTCTGGAGATCCGATATGGTGTTTGCCAACCACTATCTGAGAGATATCACCACCGAGGACGCCTCAGGTATCCACCTATTCGGTCCCATGGTCCTCAGACAACAGTTGACAGTTCCTCGGAGAAGATAAGTCCATCTTACAGAATTTTACTTATCTTATAACAGTACTAAATAGCTACATGCTATATATATTTTGCTTAAGTTCAATTTATTATCTTAAGCTCAGTACTATGGTTATTATATCATACAATATGTAAGCTAACAACTCTACGGAGTTTGTTATTATATATTTAGCTTAAGTTCATCATATCTTAAGCTCAGTACTATGGTTACATTATAAATATATTAGCTTACAAACTCTACGGAGTTTTTTGCTATTATATATTTAGCTTAAGTTTATTCATATCTTAAGCTCATTACTATGTTTATATCATATAAGTATATTAGCTAACAAACTCCAAAGAGTTTTTTGCTATCATATACTTAGCTTCAGTTTCATCATATCTTAAGCATTATGGTTACATTATAACATGTATTAGCTAACAAACTCTACAGAGTTTTTGCTATTATATATGTAGCTTAAGTTTATTCATATCTTAAAGCTCAGTACTGTGTTTATATCATATACCGGGTAAGTATATTAGCTAACAAACTCTAAAGAGTTTTTTTTTTGCTATCATATACTTAGCTTCAGTTTCATCATATCTTAAGCATTATGGTTACATTATAACATGTATTAGCTAACAAACCCTACGGAGTTGTTTGCTATTATATATGTAGCTTAAGTTTATTCATATCTTAAAGCTCAGTACTGTGTTTATATCATATAAGTATATTAGCTAACAAACTCTAAAGAGTTTTTACTATCATATACTTAGCTTAAGTTTCATCATATTTTAAGCATTATGGTTACATTATAAAATGTAATAGCTAACAAACTCTACGGAGTTGTTTTGGCTATTTAGGTTGCTTAAGTTAATTATATCTTAAGCACAGTTCTATAATCATACTATATATATGCCTACAACTCTTAGGAGTTCTACTATTATATATATGTTCAGCTTAAGTTTCAATCCTTAAGCTCAGTCATATGTTCATTTCATAACATGTATTAGTTAACAAACTCTCAGTAGTTGGTTACTATTATACAGCTTAAAGTATCATTATACCTTAAGCACAATTCTGTTATAACTTACATATATGCATATTGTAAGCTTACTACTTTGGTTCTTATAAAAGTATTCATTATAAACTATCAACAGTTTATACTATCACATTAATAGCTTTAGCTTAATTAATGTTCTATATACTTTATTATATTCAGTAAATTGTAATAACCCTTATATGGCAACTGATAAGTTAACAGCAGGAATTCAGTTCAGTGCCTTCATGAAGTTCCCTTAGGGTTATTACAATTATCTCAGTTCAAATCACTAATTAGTAAAATCCAAAGTATATATAATCCCACCTCCTATTCAGTGAGGATTCTACAAGCAAATAAACATGAGTCAGGATAAGGGAAAATATGAAATTTTAGAGTAAAATTAATATTTTATACTTATCCTGACTCATGAGGTAAGCTCCCTCCCGTCCTCCCCCACTTAACACTTTGGATTTCCCTGGAAATTCAGGTGTTGGGCTCAGTATATGAGGAGAGAGTGAGGCACATGGGTTCAGGTGGCTCGCTCTGCGTTCCAGCAAATAGCTTGTGGAAGGGAGGTAACCGTGGTCAGTACTAATGAGTGATTTTTATTGAAGGAACTTCAATTGGGAGATACAAGTGTTCCACTAGGTTCGCAAGAAGAAGAAGACAAGCAAATAAACATGAGTCAGGATAAGTATAAAAATATTAATTTTACTTTAAAAATTTCATTTTTAAAATATTTATATGTACAAAATTGATGACCCCCCTTGTACATGTGTTATAAATTGATGTTCCCCGCTACCTCCCCAGAACAAAATGGGTGAACACCAAACCCACCACCACCACCACCACCCCACCCCACCCCACACACACACTCCCTCCACCCCACCCCACACGCTTAAAATCATCATCCCTAGCCATAAATTATGAACAGTCCCTAACAGAAATATCATCACAAATACCAAATATAAATGAAGACTAAATAGCCAACAACAATAATTGATTGTGCAAGTCATCCTGCACATCCTAGGGGGTGGGGGTTAGGGTTGGGGAGTTTGCATAGTGGGTAAAGCGTAAGCTCGTCACGCAAACACCTGGGTTGGATTCCCCACATGGGTACAGTGTGTGGAGCCCATTTCTGGTGTCCCCAGCTGCGAAAATTGCCGAGTATTGCTAAAAGTGGCGTAAAACCACACTCACTCACCCACTTTAACAGAGTGTTGTTGTTTCAGGTGACAGAGAGGCAGCAGCACCGTCTGGAAGATCAGAAGGAGGAGAACGTGGACATCACACAGGAACTACGACTCACCAGGTACGACTGCAGGCATCATACAGTGCCCAGGGGGAATTCTAGATGAGAATGGTCTTCAGACGAAAGTCAAGTCTTGCCATTTTGTTGGCCACACTTGATTCAGCGTTAAACTGAGTTGAACCTTTGTTAAGTGGCAACTACGTGCATCAGATGGTCCGGCTCTGTGACTTGGTCGACTTCAGTTGGATATCTAAACCTCTATCAGGGCGGTGGGGTAGCCTAATGGTTAAAGCGTCCGCTCATCACGCTGAAGACACGGGTTTGATTCCCCACATGGGAACAATGCATGAAGCCTATTTCTGGTGTCCCCCTCCGTGGAGGGAGGACACCAGAAACATTGCTAACATTGGAGAAACATTGCTGAAAGCAGCGTAAAACCATACTCACTCACTCTAAACCTCTATCACAGCTTTGTTAAACCCAACTCACTGACTGGACAGAGAACAGCTATGTTTGACCTAATTCTATCACTGTATCATAGGGAGCAGCTGCAGCAGCAACATGGAGAGTTTATGGAGACAAGACGAGAATTGGCCCAGTCACACCGAGAACAGGATCGATTTGCTCGGGAGTTAGAAGAGGCTGTCCTCCTAGCGCAGAACAGAGACTCAGAGGTCACACGTCTTGAGGAGCAGCTGAAGGAATGTCACGGTCGGGAAAGTCAAACAGAGGCTAGATTTATGTCTGAAGTTGAGACATTGAAGGAGGAAATTGAAGCCTTACAACAGAAACACCAGGAAGAGGTAGGTGCCTTTGTCACCAGTGATGCAGTCTGTTGTTAGTTTGTCTCTCCTGTGTCTTACCTCAACATGTGATTCTGCTGGAGGATTCTTGGACATAATGGTAGGCAGTGCCCCAATGTAGTTGTGAGTGGGTACAGCTAGAATAAGTGCAGCATTGAGAAACCAGCACTCGAATAGCATGGACTGGCCAGCGTAACATTAGCTGTTACAAGACTGTCACTGGTCAATTAGCCTGATATTTTGCACAGGAGGCTGAGTCACTTGATTGTCTGGCCCTACCCACAGAGCCCGTGAAGATCCGGGTTAGAATTGGTCTTCCGTAGCCTATACTTGTCGCAAGAGGCAACTAACGGGATCAGGTGGTCTGACTTGGTTGACACATGTCATCGGTTCCCAACTGCGATAATCGATGTTAATGCTGTTGATCACTGGATTGTTTGGTTCAGACTCGATTATTTACACACCGCTGCCATATAGCTGGAATATTGCTGAGTGCATCATTAAGCAACAAAAGACCATACTGACATAGTGTCAGGCTGCCATTGTATAGTTGGAATATGGGTGAGTGTTATTGTAAACAACAAACAAACTAACTGAAGGAAATGATATCTGTTGTTGTAGTTGGCGAGTTGCCATGACAGTCAGCAGGAGCGCCAGTCAAACTACGCACAGCTAGAAGGTCAGCTGAAGGTTGCCCAGCAACAGCTCTTGCAGCAGGATGACCAACACAAGGAGGCACTGGAGAAGGTCAAGGACGACCTGGATTGT